TCAGCATCGTCGATGGCCAAACCACCGCGATCGATTTTATCGCCGAACTATCGCCCGGCGACGCCGAAGCATATCGAAAAATTGCCAACGAATGGCTAGATGGAAAGCTCGACCAGCTCAAGGTGCTTGGAAAGGCCAATATTCCACTCAAGTCCGGAATCCTCCCACTCGGCACTCATCCAGTGAGCGAGGTCTTGGTATTTGAAGGTCAATCACTCTACCGCTCCTTTGCTTCCCTGTATTTTGGAGAAAAAGTTCTGCTTTAAATATCATTATGCTTCAATCACAACACGTACCCTTAAGCTCCATACTGATGCCTCATTTAGCGAACCAAATCCCAACGCTGCCACAGTACAATATTTCGCGCCTCAACTTCCGGGACTTGCCAGACTCGGACGGCCAGCGAACAGCCGTTGGTGCCGACGTAGCCATCACCGCCTATAATGAGTTTCCCGTCAGCTTAGATGTACCGGAACTTGGCTTTGAAATTCTGGTTCCCAACTGCAACTCCTTCGATCCCTACATTCTTCTCGCCGACGCCACAACTAGGCCCCTCTCAATCAAGCCACGAACTGATGTAACTGTCAATGTCTCTGGAATCATCCGAGAGCTTCCAAAGTCTTTGACACGAGTTTGCCCCAACTCGAAGTCGTCACCTCTGGACAAATTCTTGGATCAGTATATGCATGGCGAGGCCGCCACTGTCTACGTTCGCGGCCGCAAAATGCCCGAATCGGACACCCCGGACTGGGTCGGCGATATTCTGTCCGAAATCACGGTTCCTGTTCCCTTCCCAGGCCAGGGTTTTGACAACCTCATTAAGAGCTTCTCCCTCACTGACGTGAACTTTCAACTACCCGATCCTATGGCGGACCCAGACGATCCCGATGGAGCGCCAAAGGTTTCGGGTACGGTCGAGGTCCTCGCGAGTCTCCCGAAAGAGATGAATTTTGACATCAATGTCACGGACCTGAGAGCCACAGCAGACGTCATGTATCAGCACAAGAAACTCGGGGAACTCAACCTAGACAAGTGGCAGTCTGCTAACTCGACAAAAGAGGCCGGCGACGAAAAGCACGAGCCTCTCCTGAGAATCACATCCCGGGTTATTGACGCCCCCCTGAACATCACCGATGGTGATGTCTTGACCGACGTAATGCAGAGACTCCTTTTCGGCGGAAAGTCGGTCCTGTTGGACGTAAAGGCCGGTGTCGACATTCGAGTCAACACGGCTCTTGGAAACTTGGTCTTGAAGGATGTCCCTGCTGAGGGCAAAATCCCGGTAAAACGTCCGTACTAAGTCCGGCACTGTTTGTCTTATCGTGGGTTGATTTCTTATGTCCCTGCTCACTAAGGGGAACTGAGCGAGCATAGAGGCTTACACTGGTGCAGCTCTCCCTGGCGACACCTTTGGTAGCATCCACCCACAAGTGGGAGATGTGAAAATCATTAGCACCTCTTCCTCAGCGATGACGCTTGAGGCGCTGGTCAATATCACAAATCCGACACCGTACACAGCCTCCATACCATATATCAACATACACATTGTGAGGGACGGTTTCGTGCTTGGCAGTGCTACTGCCGAGAATATGAGAGTCGACAAGGGCAACAACACCAATTTGCTTGTTAGAGCAAATTGGGATCCGACCGCCGAGGGTGAAGCTGGTCGCAAGATTGCCAGTGATATGATATCAGAATATCTCTCCGGGCGCAACGTCACAATAGACGTGAAGACTCACAGAGGCACGATTCCGACTGCCCCTCTGATAGGTGAGGGGCTATCAAAGCTGAATATTAGCATCGCCGCTCCGAAGTTGGACCTTCCAGGAGAAGGCGAGAAGAAGGGACACTTCATTAGAGATGCGACCTTCCATGTGCTTGGTTCTACAGCGACGTTTACCCTGGTGTCTCCGCTACGGTATAACACCATTTATGTCGATTGGATCAACGCTACAGCATTGTACAACCACACAGAGCCGGTCGGTCGTATTGTCTATGGCCTGCCCTTCGCAGCACCCCCGGGGACGTCTGTAACGCCCAGGCTGCCCGTAGACTGGTCTGCGGGATCAGTGGGCTATGACGCCGTGAAGAGAGCGATTGGAGGGTCCCTAACTCTCGATGCAAGTGCGAATGTCACTGTGCGGATTGGAAATTGGAAAGATACGGTCTGGTACGAGGGTCAGGGGATTGGTGCAAGTATTCGTTTGTAAAAAGGGTATTGGCTTTGGCTTTGGCGTTGGTTGGTTTAGTAATCGGTCTGGAGCGGCTGTCAGCGCCTGATGCGCAAAGCGACGCGAAAACACAAGCCATGAACTTGTATATCAGTACACTGCATAGAACAGCCGCATGGCTCTATGAATAGACTCAGTGTGGTCACTCAAGCATCTCTTACTCTTTCAATGACCAAGCTTCAGTTTTCACGAATCCATGGTGGTTTCTTTCGTAACTGTAGGCCACTGATGATTTCTACAGGCGTCGTCATAAGATTGATGTAGATAGTTTCTTTTTCATGTCTCCCTGTATCGCAATGTAGCGTTGTGGGAGCTCTCAAAGGTCCAGGGGGGTTGTTTTCCTTGAAGACAACCCCGACTATTCAGTTAAGTCTCTTTCTGGTAAATGAGCCTGAGATTGATCTGAATCCTGAAGAATCCCTTGAAGTTAACCTTCGAGTGCTAGGTATGGCCACCGCCGATATACATCGTCCCTATTCTTGGGTCTCCGCCACTGCCTTGATTTCTTCTTCTTCTTCTTCTGATTCAAATTTTCTCGCATGGCATCTTTGGCACGCTATCAGTTAATCTATATGAAAAGAAATATGAAAATCAAGGGCAAACGGTTGCTCGTTTTTGTTCATGTATTACACCAAACAAACACTGTGCGCAAAACAGTGCTTGACATGCCTGGCGTCAAGTGACCCACTCACTGTTTATCCCAGGCATGAACACCGCTTCAGCAGGACTACTCTCATCGAACCTCACGCTCGTTACAACATCGAATCATCAATTGATCTCATCATAGCATCAGAGTACGCTATCTATCTCATAATCCCTACTGCTCTCTGTACGACCCGACAACCCGTGGTCAACGTCTCTCAACGTTTGTCATCCACGACCAACGAAAGGGGGCACAATCTCAAACCCAAACCCATCAACGCATCTCACATACATCTTACGCGAGAAGCGGCGCCGGCCCCCCCTTGCACGCGATGCCGAGCCTCAACTTCTCCCCTTACGCACCGCGACGCCGCCGTTCCCCGCGCGTAGTCATCACCTGGGTCGCCGCCTGGCTCACGGTTCTGACGCTGACGTGGTGGATCGTGTCGCGGCGGTCGTCCGCGGGCGGGCTGGCAGCAGGAAGCGGCGGCGTGGAACAACTCACGGAAGCCGACGCCGTGATCAAGGGCAAGGACGTCCCTCCCGAGGCTGGTGCTTGACGATATCGTCTCTACTTTTCGGCCTTCCTTTACGACGCCTTGTTTTTTGATTGTTCCCTTTCTCAGTCTTGGCTGGATCGGCCCATCGAGCTGGTGTTTTTTTTTTTCGCTCTTCCTTCTTTTTTCGGTTATTTGGGTTGTCTTAGATGCTGGAACATTGGGAAAGAGGCACCCGCCCTCTAAATGGAACTATGGCATAAGGCATATGGGCCTACGGAGAGGTCCGCTGTCATGAGACCCGGACTTTTCTTGCTATGTGGGCTGATGTGGCACGCCCCGCGGCGGCGCCGCGGCTTTGCGTCTTGGACGCTTTTGTAAACGATTTTGAACCTTGAGAGTGAGGCAATGGTATGGCGTGGAGGCGGGAAGAATATCAGCACACATTGCGATAATGGAGGACACATCACACACATGGCACCCCCATCGTGATGATGACGTCGAGGAGGGAATCACGATTTTTCCAAAACATTCAATTCGCCCCTTGATACACGTTATTCAGCTTCAATAGAATCTTGTTACACGGGGGAGTAGTCGTACTTTCCCGCTCGTCAAACATGAAGGATCGATCCCGATTGCACGTGGGGGGAGGGGGTATTCACACTCAAGTTGCAAGGGGAGATATGAGGGGAGGGAAGAACGACAACCGAAACAGCAACTAGCGGTAGGAAGGGTCGATTGGAATGCAAATTCTCCGACGGAGCTACGGTTCATCCTGGAGATTAAGGTCGCCTAGGGACAGGACTTGCGACTGGGTTCATTGGAACGTCAAAGGGAGACTCAGACCTCTGGGGCATGGGGATTGGAGAGGAGGAACTGGCTGGGCAAAAGACACAAGAGTTAGGTATGTGTAAGGAAGCAAAACCAACAATCCCGCACCATCACGATCCTCGAGTTTGACGAAAGGAAACAACACGAAACGTGGGCGTTTTTTTTTCCCTTGGGTTCGAGTGGTGAGAAAGGGAGAAAAGGCGTACGGCAGATATTACCTCGATCGTCCTGTTTCTTTTGCTTCGTTTTGATCGTGTTCTCCTCTTACTTCTCTTCTTCTTCTTCTGCCCTGTCATTCATCCGCCTCTCCTTCCACAAAGACCTACGCCAAAAACGACAGGCGATCAGACTTTCCACCGCGCGCGTGTAGTACCTGATCTTACGGGCTTTGCTCTCACCTATCATCGCCTACTCTTCCGCCTGAACTCAAAAAGAATAGGAAATAAGGAAAAGTCCAACGCCACACTGGCAGATCAGCCCTTTGTTCCAAGCACACCGTTTCCAGAATTAGTCGGGGGCCGGGCTTTTCGCTACCGAGAAAAGAAGAGAAGATTTGTGAGAGATTTCCCTTTTAGCAGCAGCGCCGCAGACGCCTTTTCGCGTGCGTACCTTGAAACGGGTAAACGAGAAGAAGAACAAGCTGAAGGAGGGCTCCCAAAGGGCTGGGTTGGGTTACAAGTGCCGAAGAAGCTCAAAGGCGAGATCGACTCAAACTCACAGGAGTGGGCGGAAGCCTGGCTTTTACGACTAGCTGAAGGCGGGGGAAAGGAAAACGTGGACGCTGAGACTTTTCTCAAGCTCAACTTCTCAAGAGGTAAATATCATGGTTCTTCTTCCATTTTCAGCTATCTATCTATCAAGCCCCGTGTACTCACCTCTCATCTAGCGCTACGTTTCTTGATCTACATTAAGGCTTGGCATGAGCGTCTCACAGCAGCAAACCCCTCTCAAGCTCTGTTTCTCACCTCTTCTCATCAAAGAACCCATATACACATTTGTCACACATAGCCCAGCATGACCAGTGAAGGCGCAGGCAGGCAAGGCATGCTCAATTTCAGAGTCACGCACCCATACGTCTTTACACACGGCATCTGCGGCCGCAAGGACTGCTACCGCGGCTCACCGGCGGCAGCAGACTGCGAGTTCCACGGCAACGCCGTCCGGGACATTATCAGATCGCGGCGGGACCAGAGACGGGCCCGCTTACAACAACGATGCCGAGCGCACAGCGGCAGCATCGACATGACACCGGCGGCGGCGACCGCATCCACATCAACAAGCCGGAACGTCACGCCTCTGAGACGGCAGCCGAGCCAGAGCAGCAGTATCAGCAAGCCAGATAGCCCGCTGTCTTTCACGTCGTCCGAGTTCTCGGCCGACTTTTCACCCTGCGTTTCGCCGCTGATGGAGGATCTCATGTTGGAGGTCACGGATGCGATCGAGAGCAGCGGTCAGACGCCAGAGCTTCTTGGCATGCCACCGAGGCGGACGACATCGGCGTTCAACATGGACGACATATTCAGAATGATTGACGAGGCTCAGAGAGAGTACGAGAGCCTGGGCGAGTCACCTGTCACACCAATAAGATCAAGAAACGAAATACCCCGCCAGCCACGCTGGAGCTGGGAGAGTCTGCTAGGTCCATCATGACGGCCGGCAACTGGAGCAGTCGTAGTGGACAATAAAGAAGGACCGAGACACTTGGCCGGAACGATCATGATCAAAGAAGAACCGTGCTTTCTGCCCTGCTCTAAAGCAAGAGACCAGCACAAGGGATGCCAGTGTGTACAACTTTGTACATCTGACTCTGGAAAGGCATGAATGAGTATCACAAAGAAAGCGTCAGCAAACCAGCCGGGGGCGTCTGAAGAGTTGAGCGTTGTGTCAGCAGGGAATAAACTTCAATTTGGATTGTACATATTAAAGGGTCTGCACCTTTTTCCTGGTCCATGGTCCCGACACCAACCCGATTAGCCTTTTATTGTAATCGAACACCGGCCTGCCGCTTCGCCGATGATGAACTCATGTTTGCGTTCTCGCTCGCGTCGAACGTCGGCTTGGCCTCGCGTCGCCTCTCCTCCTCAATCTTCTTCAGCAGCTTGTCGGTCTTGCCCTTGCCGCTGCCCTTGCCATGAAACTGGTGACTCATGTGCTTAAAGGCCTCCTTCTGGTCGAGAGATCTACCGTGATCGTCCACGTACTTGAGCTCCACGTTGGGCTTGTAGTGCTTCTTGAAAAGCTCGTCGACGACGCGTGATTGCTGCAGTTCGCGGTGGGCGTTTGCTTGTCGGGCGCGCTCCTCTCTGTCTCTAACGGACATGGAATCCAGCCGGCCGCTGTTTCTGTCGCGCTCTCGTTGGTATTTGGCCCGGTCTTCTTGCTCCCTCTCGAGACGTCTCTTTTCTGCCAGGAATTCGGCCTTTTGTCGTTCGCTCATGTTTCGCTCCGCACCATGAGAGTCTTTGATAAGACCACGTTCCCTGAGTAGAGCCAGAGCCGAACCCATGCCGGTGTTGAGTGATTTCTCTTCGTCAACTCCAGTTGCTGCAATCTCTGCAGATGCCTCTCTGGCTCTGTCCTCGGGAACTTCATAGGCATCTTCGCCCATTGGGTGATCTTTGTCGTCGTCGGCGTCCATAGCCGTCACAGGCTCTACTGACGTGGATTTTGGCCTCTTTGCTTTGCGCTCGTCTTCCTCCTCTGACTTCTTCAGATTGGACACAAACTCGGAAATCTCATCAATGACTACACCGCCATTAAGAGCCTCATTGTCCGGCTCATCTGCCTGTTCTTTGAGTTGCCGAGCAATGTCCTCGGGCCGATTCTTCTTCCGCCTCTTCAATGCGCTCTTCCGCTGGATGGCCAGGGAAGCCTGCAAATCGTCGTCATCAACAAAGTTGTCGTCCTCTACTTTGCGTTTCTTCTTGCTGACAGCCGCGCCAGAGTCTACATCCATCTCGTTGTCTTCCGCCTGTGTCGCATCAAGGGGGAAGATGTCGTCCTCATCAACAGGCTTCTGCCTTGTTGACTTGTTCTTCTTCTTCTTTGGCTTCTTCACCTTGATCTCTGAGATATCAAGGTAATCTGAGGTAGGAGCGTCTTCTGGATGGAGGGTCAGTGACGTCCCACTATGACAAGGTTTAGCTGGGTAGTACTTACGCATGACATCAAGATCAATGCTCTGCAGCTTTTTGATCTTTTCTGGTGCCCCAAGGATATCTCCCAACTCAGCAATTGCGCCAGACCCATCCAGGGTGAACTTCTTGCCCTTCTTGCCGTATATTTCCTCATCGTACTGAGCCAAGATGCCGCGTTCGCCTTCTTCATCCGCTGCAGCAAAGACGTCGTATGCTGGCTTCTTCTTCTTGAGATCTAGCCTCTCCTGCAGTTGCTCTCTGGCCTTGACGTCCATGTTCTCTAGTTCGTCACCGTCTTCCTCATTCTGCTCGATGGTCGAGTCCTTCAGGGTCAAGATCTGTTCGTCGCCGTCGAGAAAGTTATTCAGTTCGTGCGCAACCTTGACACCAGCAAGGTCTTTGGAGGTGTACTCGACTGTCGCGAGCGCAGCTGCTTCAGCCGCTGCCTGTTCCTCCTCCAACTTTCTAGCCTTCTCGATGGCCTTTTGCCGCTTCTTTTGCGCTTTCAACCATGCCTTTGCGTCCACATCGTTCTCGTCGGCTTCACCGAGACCCTTGCCTTCCAAGATTGCATTGCGCTGCGCTGCTTCTCTTTCCCTTTTCGCGGCGGCGGCTCGTTCTTCTCGTTTGCGCTTGGCGGCTTCGGCGTCGCGAACCTTTTGGTAGTTGTCGTATGCTTGCGCCTGACGTCCTTCAAGTGTGGCAGACGCATCCTCTTCTTCTGATGCAGAATCGTCGTGCTGTGATTCGGCTGGAGCGGCGCCAGGGACCGGCAGCGGCTTCATGCCCAGAGAAACGCGAATGCGATTCGTCTCTTCGATGGTCGCGGCGTCCATCTTGGCGGTAGTATGCGGTTCAGATGTTACTGGTATTCGGTATGTCTAATTCGAAGTGCAGTGTTGAGAGGGATGTGGGATCGGAAAGTGACGCGATGGCGATTCGAGGGCTGCGGACGATGGAAGGCTAGCTGGTGGAGTTGCAAATGCGATGCCGGTAAGGATACCTTACCAGGCGACAAACTTCGTGGCCAACCACAAAGAGCATGCGGCTCACCAGCACTTTGCCAGGCACCCAGGCTCGTCAGGGTCGTTCTCCACCGCCGGCGACCCGTGCTTAGCTAATCGTCCGAGGTGGGTCCCTGATTTTTACTACATAGCGCAGCCTTGCGAAAATTCTCTTCTCTTTTTCTTTTCCTTCTTCAACAAACACGGGCCTGTGCCCAGAATTCCTCTGCTCCCACGGGAGTCAGGGTCGAGTTCTGCGGCAGCTCGATCATCCAAGGAGCCATCAAATTTCATGATGTCAATCTTCCGATCGACAGGTTCAAGAGTGACCGGTCTTGAGGCAGCCATGTTCGCCGTCAAAAGCTTGAGCGTGGTGTAATCTTGCACTGGGGACGTCATATTCCTACCCCTTTTTCCGAGATCGTTGATCTATGAGGTTAGGGCTAACCATGACTTGCCTACAAACTACCACCTCGGGAACTTATTTATGTTCTCTACGTAAATTACTGCTGAAGATTTCTCACCGTGAAAGGCGCGTAAAGTGGCAGGCAGATCTTGCCCCGCGACTGCGGCACGTCAGGCGCAAGGCAGCTTCAAGCGATGAAAACTGTACTTGCCTAAAACTGGCAACCAAGTCGTAATACGTACAGTCTTCGCGGATCGTGTAGAACCGAGTTGTGGTCAGCTTGTTTGCGCCCGATGCAGAACCCATTTTGGAAGACGTTGCTACCAGGGTTTTCGTAAGAATATCCCATGCCTAGTACCATTCTTACCTAAGAAGACATGTGAAAAACCAACGGGTAAAATTTGATAGACGAGCCACGATTTTCTCCACGGGCTCTTTCTCGGCGCATACCGTGCCTGGCGCTGTCATCTCAAGCTTGCGCCGTTCGACAATGCATATTGCTCCTGCATCAAGGTGTCCATACTCTCGCTTCCCAATGCCATCAGAGTTTGTCGGTTGCGGCGCAGAGTCCCCGTTCTGGATATCCCGGCCGGCCATGTCAACGGGGCCAACATGTGGGATGGCCGGTGCGGGGTGCAGCCGTGTGATCTGGGGTAGCTATTGGCATGGCTAACTCTCTCGTCCGGCCCGATATCAACAGGAGACTCCGCCGTAACATCGTCACACATCACATAGCTTGGTTGACGCTACTGCATGGCAGCAAATGAGCAAGCTGTAAAAAGGACATTTCGGCCTTGGGGGAGATGGAGTTTCCGCCTTGATGATGTCGACTTGATGGCATCACACCACTAGCAAGCGCTGGTGGGTGAGGAAGCATCGCATGCCCAGCTTCCAGATGCCGATGAGACATGAGGCTAGCTCGGACGGAACAACAACAACGATAACTGTTGCTCATCTCTCTTTCAACATAGGTGACTTAGAGCACCGCTCCCTTGCCCAGGTTCGTCCGATTCCTACAAGTGTAGGTCCTGCAGACAAAGGCCACGCCAACTCCAATGCGCATTAAGCTCATCAGCAGTGTAAGCCATGTCTTAGTCGTTCGATCAAGCCTAAGCCTCGGGACGGAGTGTGCGGGGAACGCTTAAACCTCCTCCTCCACCGCCCCTCGACCCCAACCCCCATGAGCTGTTCATCATAGCCACCAATAACACCCCGCAGTTCCTGGCGGAAAGGACCGAACAACAAGGTTGTCTGATCTCCTTGCCGACGACATCACTCAACCCCTGTCTGCTATCCTTGCTGCCCACTGAGGAGACCTTCTAGCAATACAACCAACCTGATCCACGTGCGGCCTGCACGGCATCGTCTGGGATCGTTATTACCCTTCCTTCACGGCACTGTTGGAGCACTCGTAGGTGCCAGTCACCGGCACTGAAACTATCTACAGAGGAACCCGTCCAAATAGTTGAGAGCGAGCGTGACAACAGGTGGAAACTTGGGCTTTCTGTCCTAGGACTGGGGGGGCTTGGAAGAGAATTCGAACGGTTCGATCAGATTTCTCTCGCCGTTGTGCCGACATAGGTCCAGCTTCTAGCTCGTGACGAGGGGCATCTTGGATATTCGTGAGACTAATGCAGGCCAGCTTGACAGCTCGGTGATACTCCAGCATTCGGGCCTTCGAGGCACATCAAAGCAACCCACCCTAAACACGTCCCCTGCCCTACAGCTTCTTCGTGCCGCTCGAAGAAGTATATATAATCATCATGGTTTACCTACAACATGTCATGTCAGGAAGCCTGGCACACAACACAACAGAGCGTCTTACACAGCCCATCATGAAGCTTCTGACTTCCGCTCTTCTGCTCGGGTCTCTCGCCACCCAGACGATCTTTGGCTACCCCGGAGGCCAGGTTGTCAAAAGGGACGTCGACTCCTTCATTACCACTGAGACTCCCATAGCTCTTGCGCAGTTGCTCTGCAATATTGGCCCGAACGGTTGCCATGCTCAAGGGGTAAGCTCTGGCATCGTTATCGCTTCTCCGGACAAGACCGACCCACCGTGTAAGTTAACGTTCGTTGGTGACATGCCTCAAGCGGAGAAACGAGCGGAGGACCAAGTTCACCGACTTGTTTTCCGAGGGGCGAACCGTGGTACCTCAAATCAGAGACTATTGCTAACGTACCACAGATTTCTACACGTGGACTAGAGGTAACCATTATGCATCAGTGATCACACTGCAGAAACTAACAGCTTCACAGATGCTGGTCTCGTATTCAAGGCCGTGGTGGACATCTTCACCAACAGCTATGATGCCAACCTTCAGACCAACATCCAGAACTACATTGCTTCCCAAGCTCGCCTTCAGGGAGTCTCAAACCCTTCCGGGGGCTTGGGCGATGGTGCCGGTCTTGGCGAGCCCAAGTTCGAAGTAAACTTGGCCCCTTTTACGGGTGCTTGGGGTATGTTAGATGCCTGCCACTGAATTTGAGGCGCATACTGATAGTTGCTTTAGGACGCCCTCAGAGAGATGGTCCGGCGCTGCGAGCCATTGCCATTATAGGGTACGCGAAATGGCTAGTATCAAACGGCTACTCGTCTACTGCCTCATCCGTCTTGTGGCCAGTAATCCGTAATGATTTGGCTTACGTTGCTCAGTACTGGTAAGGTGGTCAGACAATAAGCGATCATGAGCATCTCTAACTTGTCTCCAGGAACCAGACTGGCTTTGATCTGTGGGAGGAGGTTCAAGGAAGCTCCTTCTTTACCGTTGCTAGCCAACATCGCGGTTTGTCCACCTGAGATATGTGATGAACGGTCATCGAGACTAACTCGGAAAATTAGCTCTTGTCGAGGGCAGCGCGTTGGCACGTTCCCTTGGCCAGGCCTGCGCAGCTTGTGATGCCGTGGCTCCTCAAGTCCTGTGTTTCTTGGGCAGATTCTGGAACCCATCGGGCAACTTCATGGTTGCAAACAGTGAGTTCATGAGCATAATCTCATCCACCTGTAAGGGAATTACGCAGCCTAACACCACCAAGTCAACGGAAATGGAAGATCCGGCCGTGATGCCAACGTCATCCTCGCCTCCATTCACAACTTTGACCCTGCCGCAGCGTGCGACGCGGCAACTTTCCAGCCCTGCAGCGACAAGGCCCTCGCCAGTCACAAGGTCGTCGTAGATTCCTTCCGCACCATCTACGCAATCAACAACGGCATCGCCCAATCCGCCGCCATCGCAGTCGGCAGATACCCCGAAGACAGCTACTACAACGGAAACCCGTGGTACCTTAACACCCTGGCCGCCGCAGAGCAGCTCTATGACGCCCTCTACGTCTGGAAGCAGCAGGGCTCCATCACTGTCACCCAGACCTCCCTGGCCTTCTTCAGAGACCGCGACGGCTCCGTGGCACCCGGGACGTACGCCTCCGGGTCATCGACCTATAACTCGCTCATCAGCACCGTGAGTGCCTACGCGGACGGTTTCATGAACGTGGTCGCGACCTACGCCCAGTCCAACGGCTCGCTCGCCGAGCAGTTCTCACGCAGCAACGGCCAGCCCCTTTCGGCGGACGACCTCACCTGGTCCTACGCGGCCTTCCTCACAGCCGCTCAGCGCCGCGCCAACGTCGTCCCCAAGGGCTGGGTCGGCGCTGCCACCTCGGTCCCGGGTACTTGCCAGGCTACCTCTATCGCCGGCTCTTATTCAACCGCCACGGCGACTTCGTTCCCCGCCAACCAGACGCCTGGTGGAGGAGGCGGTTCACCCACGGGAACCACTACGGGAGCTACGCCGACCGCGACGGGATGTTCCATTGCCAGCTCTGTGCTCGTCACCTTCAACGCCCGGGTCGTGACGCAGTTCGGCCAGACGATTAAACTCGTGGGCAGCACCGCCTCTCTCGGAAGCTGGAACCCAAGCAATGCCATTGCGTTGAGCGCTTCGGGGTACACCTCGGCCAACCCCATCTGGTCTGTTACTGTTGAGCTGCCGGCTGGTACTACGATCCAGTACAAGTACATCAACGTTGCCAGCGGTGGTGTCGTCACTTGGGAGAGTGACCCCAACCGCAGCTATACTGTCCCGTCAACCTGCTCGTCGACGGCTACAAAGTCTGACACCTGGCAAGGATAATTATCTTGAAATGCCTTGGTGGCTCACTGTTTTTCGCAGGGGCTTTTTGGAGTTGTTTCAAACACTCTAGGGAAAGGGGCGAAGTACATACGCTTATATTCTTGCACATATTATTTTGAGTATTTAGTTCAACATCTCATGAAATCCTATTGTCTTTTTACGACTTCTCAGAGGCACGCTTTTCCAATTCCGTGATGATAGTGTCGACAGTCCACTCCAAAGTAGTCTCCATGTCAATATCCAAACCCTTGCCGACCTGTGCCTTGATGTTCTTCTCACTTAATACATCTGCATTCAGCCTCCCTTCTACATCCCCATTCTCAAATAGCCACGAGTGGGACTCAATGTAGTTGGGCCAGACAATCTTGTCCACGTACCCCGGAGGATCTTGCCAGAAACCTTCTAGAGTAACATACCCATCGCGAGCCTCACGCCGCTGCGTCGCCTTGGCGCGGCTCACGAGGAGGAACAGCTTGATGTCGATGAGTTCCATGGTCGTCTCCATCTCCTTGCAGTAGAGGAGGAAGCCGTCAAAGAGACAGACGTTGAGCTTGCCCTCGGTGAAGATGGTGTGACCTGGCTTGCCAGGCTGCAGCCAGGCTGCGACCTTGGCTTTCATGGCGGCGATCTTGTCGTCCGAGACTGGGCACTTTCCGACGGAGTTCTGGTCTTCTTTCGAATCTACAAAAGGCTTACGAGGGAATTATGTGAGAAACATGAAGGGAGTTCTATAATACGGGTGCAAGCACTTACTGGAAATGTTCCATTCTCACGGATATGAACCAGAGCATTTTCCATGTCCGGGATAGATATCGACTCAGGGCAGTCCCAGTCCAAAAGGCCATCCTTGCTTGGCAATCTGATGGAGATGTTAGCAAGGCTTCGCCGATGCTGTGAATACAAGGGGCTCCTGACTCGGTTTCGGCCTTGTAGAAGTCGTCCTCATGGAGGATAAAGGTACTGGGGAAAATGTCTCTCAATAGACGGGCAAGAGTCGTCTTCCCGCTGGAAGAGCAGCCACTCAGACCGACGATCACATTATTCCCCGTCATCTTGACGATTTATCGTGATGCGCCTCACGGGAGACAAGTCTATGAGTGGTGAGCGGGTGTGTCTACGAGAACAACAATTATTTGAGGTGTTGCTCTCCTACTTCATGGGGGATACCAACATCAAAGTGAGAGGTAGATAGACTCGTCTGATGAGATGTCATCCGTCAGAGAGAATAGACCGCCAGTCGCTAAATTGTGAATAAGCGGGAGATAGTCACGGCCAAGTCTTGATCTGAGATTCCGGCTTGCAGTAGCTTACTGTTTGATTGTCAGATCCCCCAAATCAACAAACCCCACCACTGTTACCCCTCCCTGGTAGGAACGGTCAGATAGTGGGGGCGTCTTCCGCTGAAGGGTCCCCGGTAGCGGCCGCCGTCCAGGGGGTTTCAGCCAAATCCGGGCAGGCCAAGGCAGGCAAGGCAAGCCCCTGGCGTGCGTCATCCGCCTGGCAGAGCGCTGTCCATATGCGTACAGTGGAATAGACGGGAACTTCTGGCATTGACATCTCCAATTCCATTCATCCAATCCCATCCCGCAAAAAAGTTGCAGTTCATCCCATCTCTTCCGCCCAACTCCCCCATGTCGTCGCGGCCTTTCTCCTGAACTTTCTAAACCGACAACCAAAGAAACACCTCACCCTCCAAACCCGAACAAGCCGCGCAACAATGGCGGACACAGGCGGCCAGCAGGCAGCCGTGGTGATATCGACCTCCATCGTCGCCCTCATGACGGGCTTTCTCCTCGGCGTCTACTCGATCCGCGGCTACCTCATCTCCCCCGAACTGCGCTCCGAAGCCCGCGCCAACATCGACGACCCCGTCGAGAGCGAGGAGTCCGACATTGACGAGGACGACACCCTCCTCGACCACGCGCCCAACTGGGCCAATGGCTTGGCCGCCGACCGCCGCGACGGCCTGCGCCAGCGCAAGGGCAATGCCTCCGAGAAGCCTGCCTCTTCCAAGAAGCCTAACCCGGCTGGCACACCGCTGGTAGATTCCAACGAAGAGTGCAAGCTTGTCCTCGTCGTCCGGACGGACCTGGGCATGACCAAGGGTATGTTCTTGCTTCCCTCCTGACCCCCTGAAAGGCAATCGATAGCTTACCAATTCTTCTTAACAGGCAAGATGGCAGCGCAAGCCTCGCATGCGACTCTCGCATGCTACAAGTCCCTCTCCAAGGCCGCAGCAAAAGACCCCACCTCTCCAGCCGCCAAGATTCTCTCCCGCTGGGAGAATCTCGGCCAGGCCAAGATTGCCGTCCAGATCAAGAACCAGGACGAGATGCTTGAGCTCATGGGCAAGGCTCGCAGCCTCGGTGTCACCTCCGAGGTGATTGCCGACGCTGGCCGGACGCAGATCGAGGCCGGCAGTCTGACTGTGCTGGGTGTTGGTCCTGCGCCCAGAAGCTTGGTTGACCAGATTACGGGACACTTGAAGCTGTTGTAAAGGGGGGTTGGGAAGTCCATGTGGTTTACCAAGGAATAAAAGTTATTATGGGAATATAGACTCTGGGAACATACACGAATGAAGCGTAATGGCGTACGGCACATAAAAGTAGGCAAAGGACTCAAGTATGTATTTCACTTTGCATGCGGACATCAGATATGTCTCGAAATGGTGAGCAAAAGTCACGCTGCTTACGACAATGTCGATGATGTTGGTTCTTGTGACGCTCGCTCAGATACCTACCTGTTATATGTATGCTAAAAAGCTCAGTACTGTGGGAGAACTGCCTTGCCAGGCCCGATGGAAAGAAAACACTCAGCACAGTAGACATAGGAGCAGGAAATTTCTTACGGAGAAGACAGAGAGTATAGAGAATATCTTCCAGATTCGGGTATTCATGGTCACTAAGGGAGCAAATGCCTAAAACGCCTTTTTACATGCAACCAACTCCCCCCGTTCCAACTTTTTGTCAACACTTTTTTAGAACCACACCTCATATCGTCCACATTATTCTTTGCGCGCGAATCTCGACAGCGCCGGGCCGAGATCAGCCTCGGCCTCCTGGCCCTTGCTCTCCCTCTCCTTCTTGCGCTTCTCCCAAATTTCATCAACCTTCATCCTCTTCTCGTCGATAATGTTCTTCTTCCTCTGCTTGCGCAGGTACTTCTTCAACGCGCCGTTCTTGCCCCTGGCGCGGTTCTTGATCTCCTCCTCGACGGACAGCGGCTTCGCGTCCAGGTCCTTCTCGGCCTTGCGCTGCGCAGCCGTGCGCAGGTCAATGTTGCCGATGAAGTTGGGGTCCAGGGCGATCATCTCGGGCTTGAGCTTGTTCAGCAGGCCCTTGACCTCGGCCTCTTGTCTCTGCTTCTTGTTCTCGAAGGGGTTGACCTCGAGGGCGTCAAAGTTGGCCTCGCCGGCGCCGGGGATGAGGTGCGACGAGAAACCCTCGTCGTGGCCTGTGCCGAGGACGTCCTCGAAGGGGCACCACCGCACGCGCTCGACGCGTCTGCCGTCGCCTCCGAGAGCCATGTACGGGCTCTGGATCTTCTCCTGGACGGGCGCGCTCTTATTGAACAAATCCTTCCAGACGCTCGTCTGCGTGCCCCACCCGACGGCCGTGAGGCCAGAATCGGAGATGGCTACTGAGGATGCGGGTGCTCTTGTGAAGTACTGGTTCACTTCTCTGAACATCCTGACATCCCAGACAGCCATTTTGCAGTCTTGGCCGGTGGAGACCATGTAGCGGCCCTCGCGGTCAACGGCTAGTGATCGTACTGGCCCTCTGTGCGCCAACAGCTTGACGAGAGGGTCGGTCTGGTTAGGTGACCAGAGAGTGACTGTGCCGTTCTGGTGTCCTACGTGGAATACGGCGTTCCAGGGGTTTTGGGTCATGGCCGTTGGGGGGCCGAGCTTGGTGGGAATCTCGGAGACGATGTCGCCGGTCGAAACGTCCTGGTATTTGAGGAATCCTGTTGATGCCTGTGACGGTTGTTAGAGAAGTTGAGAGCTTGCAATCGTGATTTGCGAACTTACCACTGTGCCTAGGAGGAAATGGTAGGGGAGGAACTCCATGTGTGTAACCTCCATGTGTTTCCTCAAGCAGTGAATCTCCACACCATTGTGGTCGTAGATGTAGACGTACTTCTTCTGCGCAACAGCAAAAAACTGGTTGTTGTGAAGCCACCGCACATCCCTAATCGTCTCATTGAGTTGAATCTCGCACCCCAGCTTGCCCTCCCTCCAGTCAAACGTCGCAAGATGGCCTTTCCGTCCCGCGAGCAGCAATTCCCTGCCGTTGCGGGTGTACTCGCCCACGTACGGGCCCAACTCCTCCAGCTTCAGCTCAAAACGCTTCTGTGCCGTCGTGACGGAGACGCCCTCGGTGATCTCATCCTGACGGACCTTGTACGTCCTCTCGAGCTCCGTCTCGGGCTCGAGGAAGCCGCCGCTGTTCTCGAGCAGGATCTCGGCGTCCTTGGCCTTGATGGTGGCGTCGCGGTACTTGTTCTCGAGTTTGGACAGGTTGGTGCGGAGCTTCTTGTCCTTGACCGATTTCATATTGACGCTTTTGCCGCGGCCGTACGACTTGTTCGCCTCCTTGAGCCTCCGGATCTTCTCCCGCTCCTCGCGCGGGACGAGGTCGGTGCGGCGCTTCACCTGCACGGCGCCATTGGAGTGTGTGTTGTCTCTCCGCGAGATCGTCTGCGTCTCGGGTACGTCGATATCCATGCTGGGCAAACGGGGTGTGAAGTTCGGTTCGTGGCTGGCAGGGTCTGGGGGTTCTCGTGAAATGCTGTCGCGAGGGTCCTAAGCCGATCAACTGCGGAAAAAAAAAAAGGTTCACGGCTCGACGACAGCAACTCGGCTCAAAATTTCTTAGGCCTGTCTCGTTATCGGGACCCTGGTTGGAGCGTATCTTATCAATCCACACAGAGCCCCGCAGAAACTTTTGACAGGCCAATGAATCTGCTTAGATAAAGCACGCACGAATTCAAAAAAATAGTCGGTCAAAGTGCCCCTCCATCCGCATCACAGGCGCAAATCCGTCCAAAAAGTCCAAAAATTGCGCCGTAACTCGACCAAGTCTCGATTTCGACTGTGAAAAGTAGAAAAAGGAGCCTCTATCCAACCTGGCTTCGCTACCCTTTCGATTCAAGGCTGGGGGAGAGGGGAAACCGCCCGCCGCGACCATGAGTCACTCTCACCGACCGACGACCAAAGTCACCCACAAGCCCTTCAAGTCCAAGCATGCGTCCAAGGGTGCGCTGAGGGACGCCGCCAAAGGTTCGCCTGCAAAATTTCCTCTGCGCCAATTTTGAGGGCGAAGATGTCACTGGAATCCCCGTACTAATATCATATTGTATAGGCAGGCTCCCGGGCGACGAAAAGGGGACGCGAAAGACCCCCCACCAGCAAGTTCTGTCCAAATTTGACCGACGAAACCAGGCCAAGCAGCGCCAGATCGCCAAGCGCAAGGAAAGATTGGAGGAAGCCAGCTTGTTTGTCGGAAGGGATGGCGCACCGAGAATCGTCGCAGTCGTTCCCCTATGCCACGATGGTGACGCCGCGGTCGCCATCAAGCAATTGAACGAGAGTGTGGAGGTCGACGCCGAGGTGGGGGAGACGCCGTTCCGAGTCTCCGTCGACAGATTCAAGCAGAAGGTCCAGTACATCCCCCTTAAGAGGGATCTGAATGCCGTTCTGGATGCCACCCGGGTTGCGGACTTCGTGGTGGTCATGCTCTCGGCCGACGTCGAGGTCGATGAGCTTGGAGAGCTGATGCTGAGGAGTCTGGAGAGCCAGGGTCTGTCAACCCTCTTTACCGTCGTCTACGGTGTGGACAAGATCGACCAAGCCAAGCACAAGCAGTCCACCCTCGGTTCCCTGAGGTCCTACATCACCCACTTCCACCCCGAGCAGGAGAAGCTCTACCAGCTGGAGAACAGACAAGAGTGCGCCAACCTCATGAGGTCGCTCTGCAACACCACGCCGAAGGGTGTCAGGTGGCGCGAGGACAGGAGTTGGATGTTGGCCGAGGACATCAAGTTTGCCAGCTCAGGACTTGACTCAACGGTCATCACCGGTGTCGTCAGGGGACGGGGCTTGAAGGCCAACCGTCTGGTTCAGCTGGGCGACTTTGGTGTCTTCCAGGTCGAGAAGATTACGAGTGCGCCGTTGCCCAAGAAGCTGAAGAGGGGCGAAATGGCCGTGGAGGAGACCGAGACCGAGGAGACTCTTGATACCCCTGATGAAGACCAGGATGATCTGGCAGAGCTGGCCCCTGATGCGCCGATGGAAGACGACGAGATGGAAGCGGACGAGCCACCAGAGATCAAGAAGGGTGTACTTCTCGATGACCATCACTACTTCAACGACGACTATTACGAGGCCGCGGAAGCCAAGACCAGAGTTCCCAAGGGAACATCCAACTACCAAGCAGCATGGTACCTCGGCGACGACGTGTCAGACTCAGGTTCCGACATGGAGGACTTTGAGATGCAGGACGGCAACTCTTCAGAGGACGAGGCCCGTCCCGAAGACGGCCTTGAGGGTGCCGCGCCAAGAGAGCCCACCGAGGGCGCACCCACAACATACGCACAGTCCGAAAAGTTCATCGAGCCGGACGAAGAGGAGGACGCCGCCGGTCTCGCCGCCTACCGCGCGCGCAAGACGGACGAGGTCGAGGACGACAAGGAGTTCCCCGACGAGATTGAGCTGCACCCGGGCGTCCTCGCGCGCGAGCGCCTGCAGCGGTACAGAGGTCTCAAGAGCCTGCGGACGAGCGAGTGGCTCGAGAGCGAAGACCGGGCCTACGAGCCCGAGGAGTGGCGCAAGCTCCTCCAGATCCCAGACTACCAGGCCTCCCGGTCGCGGTCCACCCGCGAGGCCCTCGTCGGCGGCGTCGCCCCCGGCACCCGCGTCCACGTCTACCTCAAGGGCGTCCCGGCGTCCTTTGAGAAGTCGCACCAGCCCGGCCGCCCCGTGACGCTCTTCTCCCTCCTGCGCCACGAGCAGAAGAAGACGGCTGTCAACTACCTCTTCAACCTGAGCGCCGACTACAACAAATCCGTCAAGGCCAAGGAGGAGCTCATCGTGCAGTGCGGACCCCGCCGCTTCACAATCAACCCCGTCTTCTCGCAGCCGGGCAACACGCCCAACAACGTGCACAAGTTTGCGAGATACCTCCACCCGGGCCAGTCCGCCGTCGCGACCTTCATGGGCCCCATCACCTGGGGCGCCGTGCCTGTGCTCTTCTTCAAGCGCTCCGTCCCTGTGCCGGAGGGCGAGCGCTCCGAGGATGATGAGTCTTCCACAATCGGCCTGACGCTCATCGGCACCGGCACCGCGCTGCCGTCGTCGACGAACCGCGTCATCGCCAAGCGGGCCATCCTCACGGGCCACCCGTACCACATCCACAAGAAGATCGTCACCATCCGCTACATGTTCTTCAACCGCGAGGACGTCGAGTGGTTCAAGGCCCTGCCGCTGTGGACCAAGCGCGGCCGCACCGGATTCATGAAGGAGCCCCTCGGTACCCACGGATACTTCAAGGCGACGTTCGACGCCTGCATCAACCCGCAGGACGCTGTCGGCGTCAGTCTGTATAAGCGTGTATTCCCGCGTAACGCAGTCCCTATCCAGGGGTCTCTTCTCGAGCTCGAAGCTGGCGTTCCTGAATTGGTCCAGGAGGGTGATGTGATGATGGAGTAGAACAAATACAAAAAAGGAGATTAGGAAAAAGGATAAAAAGTCAGACATGATGAGATGGAAATGCCAAAAAGGGGTGCGCCTCGGGAAAAGAATGCATAGATATTAGCAGTAACGTCGGCTATAGATACAGGTCTGATGCCATCCTCCGGAGTTTTTTTTTCTGAAAAAGAGAGATTCGTTCAACTTTTCGTGTGTCAACCCTGGCTTCTTACATTCTTCCAACGCTTGATGATCAAAGTGCCACCCACAGGCTCTCTCCCTACTCATCATTGCCTACTCAAGCCTTGAGGCTGTCAAGCCCCTCCGTAGGCCTCGGTCCGCCCTTACCCCTGCGGTTCTCCTCCGCACCACTCGCCTTCCACGCACTAAGCATAAGGTTAACGATATGATCAACAGCAACATTCTTCTTGACCTGCGCAAACACAGTCGGCCCGCCCTCGCGCATCTTACGCGCGTCCCTCTCCATGACACCCAAATCCGCGCCCACAATCTCCGCCAGGTCCGTCTTGTTCACAACCAGCAAATCGCTCTGCGTGATACCGGGACCGCCCTTGCGCGGGATCTTGTCGCCGCCCGAGACGTCAATGACGTAGATGATGTAGTCGGCCAGCTCGCGCGAGTAGTTGGCGGCCAGGTTGTCGCCGCCGGACTCGATGAGAAGCAGGTCGGCGTCGAACTCGCGGTGGAGGTCCTCGAGGGCGGCGAGGTTGGCCGAGATGTCCTCGCGCACGGCGGCGTGGGGGCAGCCTCCCGTCTCGATGGCGCGGATGCGCGGGGCCGGCAGGGCCTTGTGGCGGGTGAGGAATTCGGCGTCCTCGCGGGTGAAGATGTCGTTTGTGACGGCGGCGATGGAGTATTTTTCGCGGAGGGCGTTGCAGAGGGCGAGCATCAGGGCTGTCTTGCCGGAGCCGACGGGCCTGGATTTTGGTTGTGTTAGTCTTTCCGTCATATCATCCGTTGGGGGCAAGTTGGTGTGCAATTTGATACTGAGATTGTATGCCAGGGGGTCTCCTAGCAAGCCATTTGAGGCCATTCAAACAGCAGGGGATGAGCGGTTTTTTGGATTACACTCTAGAACTTGAATATTTAAGTGAACTCACCCTCCAATTCCAATGGTGAAAGCGCGATCGTTCCAGTCTCTACCCTCAACAATGGGCATCTCACGGCCGAGGTAGCTTCCAGGACCGTCGAGGATTTCATGCGAGTGGCCGTGCTCCTGGGCGTTGAAGCCGCCCTCGTGGGAGTGCGCGTGGCCATGAGGACCATCGTGTGAGTGCTCGTGGGACATGGCTGTGAGATGGGATGAGGGCTTGATATAGGCTTAAAAGCAGGGCGTCCTATTCTTCGAACTCGATTGTACAAGGAATCTGGAAGGTTGCAGAGGTTTGGCTTATATGGAGGAAGCTGTTGAAGAATGGCGGGGTTACGTCTGAGCACTGTCAAGGGATCGCGGGGTCCTGTACAGCTTATCGCAGCGATAAGAATTCAGCGCGTGGTGCCCAGTGCCCGGGCGTGCGAGAGCTGATCCCCCACGGCCGCCGCCGGCGCGCTCAGTGCGGGGACACACCGCTCCTCTGGGTTCGCGTAGAGTGAGGTAGGTATTCAAGGACAGAAGCTCACGCTCAAATGGGATGTAGAGTCCGTCGATGTCTTTGCAGCAACTCGAAATGGTCGCATTCAATCTTCAAGCCCCAAATTGCATCAGCAGACAACAAGTACCTCTGCTAATGCACCATGTTGTATTCGTGCTGCCGCCCCCCGCGGCTGTAGATATGCTCATCCGTAAACCATGTATCAATCCCCTCCAACGCCTTAAAATATGCATAGCGAACCAGAACCAGACCGTTTCATGCTCTCATTACTCAAGCCTTGGCTAGCGGACCACCGCTCCCCTCATCCTTGGGCTTAGGGGGCTTCGGCACCCTCTCATATGCATTCGGGCTAGGCCTCCTCTTCTCGGTTCCCTCGCGACCAGCCTTCCTCCCATGCCCGTGACCGCTGTGGTCGTGATCGTGGTCGTCGCAGTCATAATCATGGTCTCCCCGCTTGCCGCTCTTCTTGCCCTTCCCCTTACCCTTGTGGTCTCCCGAGGGTATCCTCCTTCGCCCACCATTGTCATCCGCATCCGAGTCGGAAGAGTCGTCAGAGGAATCCGAGCAGGACTCGTCGCTGGATTCGTCGACGCCCTTGGGGCGGTGGTAGATGCAGCAGACTGTCCAGTAGTGTTAGTTAATCCATAAATGTGACCAGGAGAGAGAGAGACATCAACTCACCTTTTGAGCTCTTGCGTCCCAGGCCCTCGTTATCCACCACGTCTTCCGCCCATCGCACCGACTGTCTAGACGGAGCGTGAGCGCCTCGCAGTCGCAAGATCGCCTGCGTGCCCGTCCTGCCCTGCGTTTCTGTCTGGGTCTGGGAGGGGCCTGGCCCTGAGCGCTGCTGCGAGCGGTCTTGTAATGCCGCCATTTTGGTGATACTTTCCGGTGCAAGAAAGATTTGCGAGGTCGAAGGGCGGAGGGTTTGCGTGGTCGTGTGCCGATTCGGTCACTTCTCTGCGCGGGGTCGCTTCTCACACCAATGTATCCCCAATCTGTAGAGGTTGCCACTTGATGCTGTCGCGAAGCTGTCACCACTGTGCGTGCTCAAATCGTCTGCTGCGCGCGGATCTGTCAAGCGGTGAACAAAACCGAAGACTTTCAGGGGGCTGTGTGTCGTAGGGATTTGCCTATTGGTAAGTTGTAGGAAGGAAGGCAAAGAGGGTGGGATGCTTTTTTGATCCCCTTAGGTAATTTTGGAGGGGCGGGTAGAAGGTAGCAGGCCGACCCCCGATGGTTCAGGTACAGCCCAGCAACTTAGTTATCAAGGTAAGGTACCTTATTTAATGAGACGGGAGTTGAAGCCGATAGGTGATTGTAAAAGCTTTTGTAACCTATAGATGATTAATGAGAAAACCGCGTATGAAAGAAAGCCTCGTACATTTTCGGCTCACTCAACAGCGTTGAAAAGGCAGTTCTGCTGCCAACCCCACGGGCCCACGTCATTCCTTGAATATCCACACATACAAGACCTGAAGCCACGGCCGGCCCAGCCATCTCCAGGAACGCACCGGCGCCGCGAGAAGGTTCCGGATTCGGTGATTCAAACGGTCCCGGGTGCCGGCCCTTTTCAACGGTTCATTCACTCCGTCATTTGAGATTGCATCCAGGGTTGATGACACGCAGTGCCTTGTTCACGCGTAAAGTGGTTTTTAGGAAATCTCAATGTCATCAAAGTGATGCATCCGAAATCAGCAACGCCTATCCCATCAATTACTGCACAGCGAGTATGTACTTTAAAATAGGTCATGATAAATCATATATCAACTCGGCTCCGTTTTCCTAGAAATAATTTCGGAATAGGGCAGAATTAGAGACAGACTAGAGACGGACACTGTCGCCATCGAAGGATATGTCATTGATAAAATTGTTGTAATGAATGGTTGATTATGGGTATTGATACATGGGTTTTACACATGGGTATCGCATGCAAATATTCTACAGGTGGTGTACATAGTACATATGTGTGGTTGGTTGTGTGGGGAGATGTTACAAGGCCAGTTACTCAGCCGCCGCAAGAGCTCTCTTGACAGCCTTGGCCGCCTTCTTCGCGCCCTTCATACTCTTGCGCGGACGGCTCTTCATCTCCTTCTTGGGAGACTTATTCAGAAGCCACGCGTTCATCGGCAGACGAGTGCCGACGAACCTGCCCTCGGGCGTCCAGACCTCGACGACGGGCCAATTCGGTTCGTCCGGTTTCCGGGCAGGTTCCGCGGGCTTCTCTTTCTCCTTTTCCTTCGGCTTCTCGACCTTGGGACCGCCCGTCTGACTGTTCAAAGCCATCTCCATCTTGGCGAAACCGTCCACGGGCTCGGGCTCGTCGACCTCCAGTTCAGGCTCGGGTTCAGGTTCTTCTTGCGTAAAGGACGGCGCGCAGCCGGCAAATAGGTCCTTGGTCCGCACCTGCGCCACGATCTCAACCCATCCGCACCCCTCAATAAGGATATCGGTAGCCATCACGCGCCAGGGGAGATCCTCGACCTTTCTGCGCCCGACATCCTTGCGGGTGAGCGGTCCGGCGCGCTCCTTGGTAACGTCGTACTTCAGCTCAAAGGAGCCCGCGAGCTTGAGCTTTTCTGCGAGGCCGGGGGCGGCGATGTTGGGCACGCGGTCGGATTCCCTCGTCTGCTGCTGGAACTCGATGGCCTTCTCGGTGGATGTCGCGTGTTCGGGGATCGGGGTGAAGTTGTAGGCGAGGAAGACGAGGTCCGGCGTGGTAGGGGTGATGCGGATCAGGCTTCCGAGCAGGAGGGATTGGCCGGGCTTCAGGGATTGCTGTTCCGGCTTGATTCGGTGGTGCATGATGAGCTCGTTGCGGTGCTCCGGCTTGACGTACCTCTCGAGATCCGAACGAGCGACTCCAGGGAGGTCAATCAGCTCCCCCTTGCCGTTGCCAAAGGGGATTCGGATAGGAGAGGCTGTTGTGCCTGGAAGAGAAGAGACCGTAGGCATCTCCGGGAAGTCTGTTTCAGGACGAGCAGGAGGCAGCAAAGCATCCACTTCGAGACGATCAGAATCGTTCTCAAGCCCCCTCGCTGCGTAACTGGCACCGTCACTATCCTCCTCCTTTGCAAACAAGGGGATTTCCATGCGATTCCCCGAGGGGAGCTTTGCCGTGGTGCCCTTCGGGAACACCGAGTCGAACAGCTGACTCTTTCCAACGTTGACCTTGCCAACCATCCAGCCCGCGCCGCCGCGCTTGTAAATCTCCTCCTTGAGCGACTTGGTCCACCACCCTCGCTGGGCGCTGACACACTTGACGTTGCCCAGTCTGATCAGCTGTCCAAACTTGCCCAGCGACCGGCGCAGGACCTCTCTCAGATATGGCATAAGCGAGTCCACTTGCTCCTTTTTCGGCGCCAGCAGATCCGACCGCGTGATGATGAAGCTCATGTCGAACTTGCGGTCCTTGAAGTACCTCCCAGCCCTGTTTCTCCGATTCCTGTGCTTCAGGTTGGCGTCGAGGACCTGGTGCAACTTTGGGATGAACGACATTGGGAAGTCGGCGGCGTCGATTACGTGGTAGATGTGGTTGTTCTTGAAGGGGGACTCCTCGATCGTCTCGCGCAGGGCGTCGACTGTCGGGTGGTAAATCGGCTCTCCGGCGTGGTGGTGTACCAGCTTGTGGCATCGATCGCAGAGCGGTACTCTCTTCGGCTTGGGGCCCGGTGCTACTGCGTGTTGTTAGTACTTGCAATAGACGCAGCTCAACAGTAGAATACGCACTCGTAACGCCAGAACCCAATTCCTCCCCAAAACGCAGTGTCTTCGGATCCAGGCCAAGCTGAGCAAGCTGCTCCTCGCTCATGTTCTGCAGGACCTCATCAATGACCTTATCTTCCTCTCGCGCCCCATTTTCCACCTCCTCTTCGCTACCCTTGGGCGCAAGGAACTCCTTCACAGCTTTCCTGCTCAGGTCGTAGTATCCAGCATGCCCAGCCTCGGTCGTTTGACTCAATGCGCCGCAGCCACTGCATGACACCGGGAGATTTCTCCTTGGGGTCTTTGTCGATTCGCTAGCAGTAGGTGACGGGGCCGCCGCCACCGCCGATTCGGTCATCGTCGTCGCGTCGACGTGCATGCATCGTCGCTGTCTGTAAGGAAGGTTGCGACGCGCATCGCCAGTCGGCGCAAAGCAGTGCCGCGCAGACGCGGTGGTGAGGGATGGGCAGAGGTAGACCGGGACCTCACCCAAGGCGGCCCGGTCGCCAATGCTCATGGCACTTCTCAGCCATCTCGACGATAATGCGCGATGCATTGTCGCAGACTAGCAAAACCAAGAACAAGATAGTACAAAATTGGGTGTTAGCTACAGGACTTTGGGGTCCTGGCAGCTTTTCGACTAGACAAGCATCTAAGAAATTCTAGAAATTTTGGGGACGATCAACGTCCGAGCTGTACCGATAAGAGTTCCAACACCGCTTATCGCCGGACAATCATTTGCCCCCGGTCCGAAAAATCCAAGGGTCGCGGGCAATTTTCAGACTCTCGACCACGCGACTGACATCGAGAAGTTGCTTGGTGATTGAGATACCCTTTGGATTGTAGCATTTCTGAAGAGACCACCGCCAAGATGACTCGTGTAGGACAAAGATGGCACGCTTTAAAAGCTGTAGGTCTTCTTGAGCAGACGATATACTTGTGACGTATTGAGAAAGCTAACTTTCGGTGATCAGAAGGTACTTAGAATCGAGAACTACCCGACATAGCTCCCACGAATAGCTTCAATTGACACCCCCAGATCCTCAACATCCGCTTCGGCCTCGGCGCCGCCAAGTTGCCTCCCAATGTCACAAGGATACACATGGAGTTCGCCAGGCGCGTGAACGGCGGCCACTACGGACCCAAGTTCGTCCATCCTTCTCATCCAGTCTCTCACCCGCAAGGGCTCTCTGCGAAACTAGTCTAACCACCTCTTTTCACTTCACAGGAAATTCTGGCGCGACATGCTCCCCCGCCTAAAATACTACAATCCCGCCATCCCAATGATTGTAAACCGCAAAAACAACAACGAAGGCGCAGCAATCATGTCCGTCTACTTCTCCACCACCGGCGAACCCCTCGAACCCTCCACCCTCCCGCAACCCCCCTCCAGCGCAATCGACAACTCAAAGGCCCCCGCACCCCTCGAAGGGCTAGAGCGCGTCGTCAAGATCGACATGAAGAACAAGCACTCGGAAGAAATCTACGAACACTTTCTCCAAGAGACCAAAGCAGAGGCCGTGCTGCCCGGCCCTGAAGACGAGGCTGATATGAAGGCCGTCGAAGAGCTGCGGGCCAAGGGCGATAAGGATCGGAAGCGGGTGGCCAAGATTCTGGAGGAAGGGAGGAGGGAGAAGGCTATGCTTGCTAGGGCGCGTGCTGAGGCGAGCTAGTTGATGGGAATTGGTTCAGGGGGGGAGAAGCAGAACAAAACTTAAGTGTAAAAGCGCGTGGAGAAGAAACTGAAAAAAGTGTATGAATATCCTGTACAAAATGTACCAAAAAGAATCTGCAAAACGAGAATGCTCTGGGCGGTAATATGGCCAGTTCGTCTTGATTGGTTACTGGACCATGTTCTGGTTACGATTACAAATCCTAGTTCAGGAGACACGAAATGCTGTCGAGTACAATGGTGGTTGGAAACGAAATGAAGTCCTTCCCATTATAAGCTACCCATGGACTTATCGCCCATGTTCATCCAAGAATTAAACGCCGCCCACCACCCAAGGAAGACCAACAAGCTGTAGGTCGTTGTGAATCTGCCAGCCATACCATCTAGATGCATGCTGCTACCCTTTGCAGGGCTGCGGTTTGTCTTTCTGTAACTCCGATATCGATGCTCCCTGTAGCTCATTTGACACATGATACGCTTATTTCAAACCAAAGCCTTCGCTCTCGTGCACGGCAGTCCATAGCATGTGCTCTAGTCTCTCCCTCGACCCGTAACGACGTAGGGCCAACATGTTGAAGCATGTTCGAGCGATGGGATACCTGTTCTCATCATCGCCTAAACATGTAATCTTGATCGGAAGAAGAGCAGCACCCATAGCCGGCACTCTGTCGGTACCGGTGATGAAGGAGAGAAGCTTCCTTTGCTCATCGGGGGTCGCACTCTTGAAGGCATCCCAGAACCATCCTATGACTGGCTCTACCCCATCAGGATTCTTCGAACCCCAGTTGTCGTACTCAGCCACGCCTCTCAATGCGTCCACATCGAGTGCCGTATCTGAGCCTCGCACAAGCAATTCAATCTCCTCAGGTCGAAACAGTGACAGTGCGTTGCCGCCACATACAGTATAAAAACCGCGTTTGAAGGGCTCAAACTGTCGGGCGACAGCCGTTTCGAGTAGGTACCTGACGTATAGTGAGACGTACTCCGCTCTGTTTGCGTTGGTGACTGGCTTCCTTTCTCCTCCTGGGCACAGCGGGACCTGCATCACAGTTCCGTACTTCTCAATGTCCACGACAAAGTCCAGCTGGAAGGTCGCCTCAACGTCACCATCATACTCAAGAAGCTGCTTGAGACCACTCGCTAGACGCGGGCGATACTCAGCCAGGTCCTCCAGTGTGTAGTTCATGGTTGGTCGAGGATGGGCAGATGAACCTGACAGCGAGCTAGGAGCGGAAGCAAGAAGCTTTCGGAAGGCAAATGGCGGCAGCGCCACATCGAGAATGGTGGAGTTGTAGATCGCCAGACCCATTACAACGCCAACTAGGAAGAACTGGTCAGAAGTTTCAAAGGCGTTGGGGTTGAAATAGCAGAACTGAGAGTCCTCGTCGTAGATAAACATGCCTGCAATATGGTGTCAGAAACAGACTCAGACCTGACGCAGACTGATACATACCATGCTCGGGGTTGAACACCTCACGGACGAGGAGAAGAAACCATTCTTTCTTCAAACCACCTGCATCGAGGCCCTCCTCGCCTTTGAAAACGATGCGCAACCCCTTCTTGATGTCTTCGCTCCCGCTTCCAATGACTTCACTCACAGCCTTCAAACTATCGTCAACCAGGCACTCTCTTCGAACATCAAGCACCAAGAATTGCGTAACGTTCCTCCTTGTCATGATGCTGTCGAAAAAGGCGTCCCGTGCCTTGGTCATCTGTTGCCTTCGTGCGTCATGCTCCAGTATCTGGGATTTGGCCCACATGCTCAACAGGAACGGATACTGGCAGAACGAGAACTTTCCCCTCTTCGACTCCCAAGCCTCGAACTCGGCTACCAAGTCGGTGTAGTCAATCATGGTGTTGTAAAAGTCACTTGTAGGGATGATTTGCCCATGCGCCTGTATGCCTCCCCTGTGAGTACTGCTACTCATATTTCCCGTCTGATCCGGGCGCCGAATGTGCGTCATGTTATTTGCCGCAAACACTAGAGAAAGAACTCTGGCGGCGGCCCGGACTTGCCAGTCTTCATTATATACCATCTTTTTCGGTTGCTCCTTCTGTTGCTTTGATGAGCTACGCTGCGTGCCCAGCGCTGCGTGCAGCGAGGCTGCTGAATGTCCGGCACTCATGTTCGGGATCAGCCCGGCTGTTATGTCAACTCTAACCTCGTGTTTCTTCTCATTCTGGCGAATAAGTCTATAAGTCAGGAACCCAGCGGCAAGGTCCTTGATCTTGATGAATCTGGACTCGGAAAACCGCGCAAACCAAGTGGTTAAGTGGTTCTGACATGAAGTCGATGAATTCGAAATTAAGCCGAGGATTCGCTTGATAATGACGGAATGTTGTCCAGAAACAGGACCAGTTTTCAAGGTCGATCTGTCTTCCCTCAGAATCTCGTCGCGTTTCACCGACGGACGTCTGTTATTGTTTCCTCGGCCTTGGAAGGCATTCGACTCTCCGTAGAGCAGCGGGTTCTCCAGGATGATGAGAAGATATCTCAAGTCTTCTGGATCAGTCATCGGCCGCCCAGGGCGCTTGAGTAGTGTTTCGATGGCTTTCAATAGGGTCCTGTGGGTATGGTCTTGGCCGAATAGCAATTGGGACTCGATGGCTCGGAGCTCTGTTGCTGATAGAGGGTCTGCCTCCGAATCTCGGGTCATCTCCTCATATATGGACATCCATGATTCCGCGGCATTGATCACCGATCGGTACCACTCCGTAACTTGATTCCACTCCACCTGTGGCGAGCGAGACGTGATGAATGAAGGGGCATCCTCAATCCGCTGTGAGGCCGATCGCTTGTGGCGTGTCCCTCCCTGGCTTTGATTCCCGGTCCACCACGTTCCATTCTCGGCGAAGTCACCGAGTAACAGAAGCTTAGGGTCGAGGTCACATACGGGAGATTCGGAATGTTGCTCTGCAAACTTGGGCTCGGGCCTGGGGATAGGGGGCCGCCGTGAGGCCGACTCGCTCCCTGAGCGGGTAGATATGACGGGCCGACGAGACAGGAACGAAGAGTTGACGCAGTGGAACGAACTGAAGCAGGTGGTAATGTAGTCTTCCAACGGCCTGAATATCCTCTTCGGATCATCAGCATCCAAGAATCTGGGGCCCGGGGGTTGTGGAGCACTGGCGTCTGCAGTGAGCTGGCGCATGGAGGGTCTCTCGGGGTAAGAGGACGAAAACGACCGGACCGTTGGGGGCAGACGCAGCGGATGCACGTTGGGATTTGGACGGAGCGTAGGCTGCTCTGGGAAGAGGTAGCCAGTGCCGTTACCTTGGCTTTTCTCCCGCCTGTGCTGTGGACCTCCTGTCGTCCTCGAAGTGCAAGGTCGTTCACTCTGTTCCCGAAACGGACGGGGGGTTGCGTGCCTCTCGGCGGCGACCTCGCGCTGTTCATCCTCTGAGCTCGAGGACCTCCTAATCGCCCTCGCTAGATGTGCATGGATGGATTGCCGGATCAGTCTCTTGGTCTGGTCGAGTGAAATAGGCCTGGTGTCATATCGTTCTGCTGGACGTGTTGTTTGTTTCTGAGGCGAGGTCGACTCTTGGGACGGGCGCTGTAGCCATTTGGGGCCGCTGTTGGATCTGGCGGGTAGCTGGTCCGGGTGGATGTCGTTGATGGTCACACAGACTGTGCATTTGAAGACCTTCAGCTCGCGTGGCCAGCGCACGAGAGAGCCGCAGGTCATGCAATTGCCAGTCGCAAAGTCCCTGCTGCCATTGCTGGTGCCTCCCCTCTTATGTGTGGCGTTAGTGTTGTTGCCGGGCGGCTTCGTCATGACGGGCGCATCGTCTTCGGAATCGGTGTCATGGGAGGTGTCGGGACGCTTCTTCTTGCTGGAGAATAGCGAGGGGAATGGGTGGCTCATGGAGCGGGAATGTGTCGGACGGCGCGGACGTCTTGGGTGGAAATCGGATTCGGAAGAGCTCGAGTCGGCTTGGAGGTGGGAGTTATCCAAAATCGCATAGCTGTCGGGCAGTCGTCCCAGCTGGCCAGGTGGTGCAGTGTGCGAGGGGCTGTGTATTCGGGAGACAAGGTCGGCGGAAGTTTGACGGAGAGTAGGAGGGCGAGGAGGTGGAGCATGACGTTGCGACGACCAAGGAGCCATGTTTGCGAGCGATGCCGTCTAAACTCTGCGACAACAGCAAGGGCACCTGGCCAGCTTGGTCTGCAAGCAGCGAATCGGCATGGAGAGATGAGGATGTACAGGAAGGCAAGGTTAGGTTTTTTCTCTTTCCCTCACGGTCTGTCTTGCTTGTGTGTAGGTCCTTTCTCTTTCTCTCTCTCTCTCTCTCTCTCTCTCTCTCTCAAAATGGTTTCTGCTGTGCCGCCGTGCCCAAGGCAGGTAGTTGAAGTAAAAGTGAGACGATGGAAGACGAGGGGGTGGGAAGGTAAGGTGCGGCTGGAAGTTGGAGGGAGGGAGGGAGGGGGGAGCCTGCACTTTGAATTGAGTTGAAGGCGTGTCTCGTCCAACAAGCGTGGATGTAAGTCAAAAGGACGAGACAGGACACGGCATGACACTTGCTGCAGGAGAGGACAGGCTTCACGATGCAGGTGGTAATAATAAGGTGCGCAAGGAGGTATCCGACGCACCCATGCTGGGATTATGCTGTTGTGATGGGTTCTAGCTACAGAATACCTACTGTCCAGATGCACGAGGCCATAGAGCTAGGTAGAGCAACGCCGACAAGGCGGATGGCCCAGCAGCTAGGTAGGAGAGTTGATCCAATACCAAGACCAAGAGAGGACTAAGTAGAAGTGACAACAGCTTCGTTGTTTTTGTTATGGTTGCAGATGGTTAGTTACTTGGAGCTTGGGGTGCTTGGGTCCGGCTTGGAGGTAGTGGAATTGACCGCCTCTAGTGTCCCAGCCAACAATTTGCGCCGAGCACATGCACACATACATGAGGATATCAGACGACGGTAAAGTACGGACACGCAAAGGGCATTCGGAGGTGGTGGTCTTTGAACTGAGCGCCGCTGCGCTGTCCGTTCCTCTAGAAATCCATCCATGCTTGGCCACATCAATGAGAGGCCGAGAGAATTGGTAAGAGAGTGAGTGTTGGGACTCGACTCGAGCTCGGCCGAGGGAGTGGACAAAAATTGAACAATGTAACGGCAGCAGTGACCCGAACCAAGACATTCCCTACCGTAGAAACTCGAGCAACTCGAACTTGCGCTAGCCCGTGCCAGCCCTGCTAGCGGCCCACACTAAGCCCTTTCGAGGGATCAGTTTTATCCGATTATATAATCGACTAAACCGTATACGGAAGGCGGTAAGTGATTATTTTCCATTTTTTACTCCTACCCAACTGCCCACTTCCACCGATTACATCACCGATTTGACCACCAATTATACTGTCAATTATACCTCCAATTACACCTCCACCACGGGCCTCGTCGACGTGCCCACGATGCCCTCACGACGGGCCCTTGCCGAGAAGGATTCGAATACGGCAAAAGTGCCAATTACACCTCCAGCAGCTAAGCGCCGCGGGCCTGCTCCTACCCCCATCAAAGACCGGAAATATACACCGCGAAGTGGCCCAATCAAGCGCCGCCAGCACCACTATACCCACGATACCAAAGTCAACGTCCTGATGTTTTTAGAGCATCACCGCGTGAGGAAGCTCGACGAAGAGTCGATTTGCCCCCCGAGGCTGCGCCAGGGCGAGACCGAGCTCCCAGGGATATACAGACGTCCCACATACCAGGAAGCCGCAGATTGGTTCAAAGTCCCTCGAAGCACGGTTATCTCCTGGTATCAGAACCGCGAGTCAATCGTCAATCGGTCCTCCAACTACGCCTACCACCCTCAGTGGCCAGAGCTCGAGACAGCGCTATACGGCGCCTTCCGCCAGCGACGAAGTGAGGGAAAGCTCGTTAGTACCAGTTGGTTCAAAAGGACCGCTAAGCGGATTTTCGCCCAGCAGAACCCGAACAGCAAACATCTTTTTATTTTTTCCCCCGGTTGGTTTCGTGGCTTCCAGAATCGTATGAGAATTACCCGACGTCGACTTACCAAACAGGCAACGAAGTTACCCACTGAGTACTTCAAAGTTGTCAACAGCTTTCTTTCCTTTATCCGACGAGTTAATCAAATGGCCCTGGCTAAGGTGAAGCGGTCTAACGTCGGAGATTTACTCGGAAGTCCAGCCCGTCGATTTCCTAACTCGCGAATTCTCAACCTCGACGAGACCCCAGTTCCTTTCGAATACCTAGACGGTTACACATACGACGACGTCGGGGCCAAAACCGTGGCTGGCAAGAGCGACCGCAGCGGTTGGGGCAAGCGGCAGGCCACATTAATACTCTACATCTTCGCCGACGGCATACAACGAATTAAACCGAAAATAATATTCCACGGCAAGCCCGCAGAGGAAGGGGGTCAATTATGGAAAAAAGAGGGCCTATTATACGCAGAAGGAGTGACAGTTGAGTTCAACAAGACTGCCTACAACAATGAGTACTTGTTCAAAAGATGGATTGAAGAGGAATTGGTAGCGCTGACTAAGGGAGACGAGTACCTATTGGTAATGGATGTCGCTTCCTTCCATAAGACAGATTCCATCCTTGCGCTATTACGTCAGCACCACATCACACCCTGCCTCATACCGCCAGGGACCACTTCCCTCCTCCAACCTCTCGATACCGCAGTCAATAAGCCCTTCAAGCAGTGGCTTTCAGAAGCAACCGACGCTTACGTACTCGACGAGGAAGAAAAAGCGCTGAATAAGCAGGAGGAGCTCAAGTGGGAGACGGGTATGAAGAGAATAATGGTCACCAAAACAGTCGAGACGGCAGCCGCTAAATTGGCCCACGAGAAGGGCTCAATGGTCAGCCAGGCCTTCCTGCAGTGCGGAATATCTATTCGGCCCGATGGCAGCCAGGTCGACGAGATCCGGATCAAAGACGTGCCCGCCGAGGCCATCGATTACACTGGGTGGGAGCTCTTCGACGTAGAAGCCCACATTGAGCAGGAGACGCTGCAAGAGGAGATTCCAGACTTCGCTGTTCTGAACGACGGGTTAGAGTACATTTTCACAGCAGAGGAAGTCCGTGATGGCATCAATGGGCAGTTCGTCGACCCGACAGTCCAACCGCCGTATGAATAGGGGCCCGTTGGAGGCAGTGGGCCAGGGGACAGTCAGGGGCTCGGTTGCTTACGTACGACTGCTTCCAATTGACACTTTTGCCCTTTTTGCCAATTCGACGAGAAAAGCTCAAAACCGACGAGAAAGCCAAAATAATTATTGAATTATATCAATTGTGGGTCCGGCCTCGACGGCGAGCTCTCATTGGTCAGATCGATCGAAATGTTAACCTACGCCAAAAATAGGTGGCGGCCGCATTTAACCACTTTAGGCAGTATTACGATTCTGCCATAGCGCTAGCAGGGCTGGCACGGGCTAGCGCAAGTTCGAGTTGCTCGAGTTTCTACGGTATGCCAGGCTCCATGTTCTCTCATCTCAATCTTGTCAAGTCTCGTATTCGACAGTCGACGCTGGGCGAACACATAGCCGAGAGCGAATCAGCAGGCTGCGTATCTTAGGGCAGACATATTAGCACGTCAAAGTGATTAAACAGCCGATCCCTGTGAAGCGCCGGGTGGCTGACTGAGTGCCCTTCCGAGTGTCATACGGATGTGTTTCTCTCCCTGACATTGATTCCGAATAACCTTCTGGAAAGAAACAAGTGTACTCCGTACATAATACACACTGACACATGGTTCACTATTCCTTGCGTAAGTAGGTACTTGTGTTGTTGGACTACGTACGAAGCTATGTACCCTACCTCGATGCATGAACTGCTAAAGAGGTTGCTGTAATTAAGGTCGCAGAAACGTCAAATATGATCAGCCACGTTGCCAATCTCATATAAGGTAACAGAATGAACAGCCTGGACAGCTGTGGAGTGACATGAAATGCTGCAATTTCCTGATGACAACCCCTGCTTCAAATGTTTTTATTTTATGATATTGAGGGACGGATAAGTAAGGTGTGTTTTAGGGGTCCTGGGCTGAGTGCCTGAAGCAGGGGGCCATTTTCGCTGGGGGACGACGGGTCAGCACTCAGCTCCAGACTCCAGTGTAACCCAACTCGCCAAACCAAACGAAACCAAGCCGTCCGCGGCTGTGGGAATCCCTGCAGGGGAACACTCCAGTCTCCAGCGTGCATGTCCTCCCGCTATTGCCCTGCCTTAGCACACCACTCACGCTGCAGCTAGCGGTCCAAGGTCGCACTTCCCCGAGGCCGGCACTCGGCGGGGGGGACTTCGGGAGACGGACGGTTTGTTCCTTCTGCCCCCCTACCTAACTACCTTACCTGTACGGAGTACACTAAGTACCTTAGGTAAGGTGAAATGCCCCCATCCATCCACGTCTCATTGTGTCCTTCCGAGTCCCGTCGGTGCCTTCCAGCGCCAAGCCCGGCTAATGGAAACGTCGAATGTGGGGGAAAGAAGTAGGTAATCGCGGATCCCCGTTTCGTCAGTGACAGGCCCTTGCCATTGGATCTCTGCTCCGGGCCTTTGCTGTTGCGCTGTTGCATCGTCGACCTTCATCACATACCGTTACCTTAGCTTCAGCAGACGACAACTGGCACAACACGTTGCCTCGGCCGTTTCAGCATCTCGACGCATCCATGACACACCCTCGAGCCCGACTCTTCAACCCCGCCGTCCAGGCCCGGACAACCGGGGTCCCCCAAACTACGGAGGAAGCTTCAGGCGAACAGCTCCGGCCCTGACGGCTGCCGTGACGTCAATTGTTGTCTTCTCGGGCCCCATGAGCTCCAGTCACTTTGTCTGCGCACGCGAGCCCACGAGCGATCAAGAGTAGGACGGCATCGGCCGGTCCCTGTAGTCTTGGTCGCTATCGTCTTCGAAGCTGGTTTTTTCAAGAACTGTTACTCCTGTTCTCCTGGCCAATGACATAGTTCATTCAATAGTCTACGGACGGGCCATTGAAGGGAAACCAACGGAGAACGAAAGTAATAGCAGGGAAACCTGCTGCTCTACTCCTGACCGTCACTCTGTCAACCGATATGCAAGCTGCCAAAAGTGTCGGCAACAGTGAGACGAGTGGTGCTTACCATTGGCTCCATGTGGCTCGCTTATCGTCTCTCTGCTGACAACTCCAGATCAATGCATCATACACGGGAAAGATGTGGGTGTTTGCGAACATGGTCATATTCTCATTCGTCATAACATATGAACAGCTACCTTGTCATCACCTCGCTCCCAACTCTCTACAGCATCTGCGCAAACTGCGGCGATACCGAGAATTGGCAGTTGATAAACTTGATCGTGTCGTTGCACCAGTTGGACTCCTTTGTTCCGGTACCGACCATTCTCGCCTTATCCGATGCCTTGGCGCCCTTCTTGAGCGTGCCCTGCAATGTGCTTTCAAAGTCGCCTTTCACAATCTTCAGGTCACCCTCGAGCTCTGCCAGTACTTCGCCGCTCTCGCTTCGGAGCTCGAACTTGCTGATGCCGTGGTCAATTTCCAACGGACTGGGGTTGTACACCTTCATAGTGTTGACGAAACCACCGCCACGCTCTTGAGAGTTAACCTGCGCGATCTTGGGGCCACCCATCCCAATGATGGGCACGTCCTTTGCGTACTTGACCTTGGCTGATAAGCCAAGCGCCTTGATTGTGCAGTCGCCGTTGTCGAGTCGCAGCACCAGGTTTTCGTCGCACATGATGGCTTTGACGAACGCCATGAAAGCATTGCGGTCGAGAATCTTGATGAGCTGGTCCTTGACGACAACTTCCGTACCTCCAGACTTGGTCTTGACCTCGGGAAGATCCAGCTTGCCGAAGCAGCCTCCGTTGAACATCATATCGACGGTCATCGGTGCCATGGTCGCGCCCATGGGTCCGGTTCCTGTGACCCTGCTTACAATTCCCATGACGAAGGTGCTATAATTCACACAACAGTCAGTTAATGCTACATGATGCCACCAACGTGCAGGACTGACTTACTCAGCCGTGGGCTGGGAAATCTTGATGTGTTCCACCTCCAGCTTGGAGCGGTTGAGAATGGCCTGGGTGATCGCGTCCATTTTGGCTAGTGTGCTGATTTTGTGGAAGCGCTAGGGGAGTGGTGACGTTCAGTAAGCTGGTTTGGGTTTTGTTGTAAGTGAGACTTGATCAATGCAGTTGAAGTTGATTGACGAATTGATGGGAAAAGCAAGGTGAGGAACATTGGGCTTTATACACGCTCGCCAAATCGTCCAATATCCTGGTCTTCACAACCCCGATACGGCCTCACTGTCGTCAGAACGAACACATGCAGGATTAGCTACCATGCCATGTGCTACTGAGCTGCCACAACTTCACTTTTTTGCCTCGGAACCTGAGTCTCGTCTCCAACAAAACCCACCGTCACAACACAGTTCGCATAGCTCTTCGCATAGCTTGCTACCCTGCCACACCCCGTCCAAAACTTGACAAGGCCTCAGGGGGTTTAGAACGGGCAGCCCATCAGACGAAGAATGGTTGCTATTCGGTGAGCCCAACACTTCGGATTACACCCCTGCGTGTATGACAGATCGATCAACCCACCGATCCTCTTTGCCTCCTCAAAACGGCAATTCCCTGTGCGGTGAAACACCAATGGAGAGCGAGGGTTTCCTTCGCAGCTACAGAAGCAGGAGCCAGCTCACGCACACTACGCAACGCACCCGCACCCGCATTCGCACAGCTTTTTTTGTTCGACGGCGGACCCCGTAATGCGAGTGAATACAAGTACTTCTTTATTTGGTTTCCATTTCGCTTGGACGTCCCGTTTCGGGAAGCATTGAGCGCTTACCTGCCCTTCTCCCTCCCCACCTTCAACTCAAAAGAAAAAGAAAGAGAGAGAGAGAGAGAGAGAGAGTCCGGGGACGAAACCCGCGCCTCGGCCGGCTGGCGGCAAGAAGAGTCTCAGTCTCAGCCTCAGCTCGCTCGCCCGCTCGCATACTTGACTGTATTCTTGCCGACCCGCATGTGTCAGCGGCGCAACATCTGCCAGTCAGGATCCTTTTGTCACGTTCCAGAAGTAGTAAACCTAAGTGGATATGAGGGCTGTGAACACACTGCCCACCTCCTCGCTGATACACCCAAGGCTGACTCGGAATGTTTACGTTGACACGGTTGTCGAAATCTTGGAGCCAAGAGGGTTAAAACACGTCTGTAAGTTAATGCAATAGCGGGCTGGGTGACGCAAGTTGTTGATGCGGGGACAATCTCGGTACGCAACGTTGGAAAGGACGAATTGAAATTTTGGCATGTGCCTCAGCCTTTCACCGAGGGACAGGTGGAGGAGGAGAAGAAGAAGAAGAGAGAAGGGGCGGGATGTTTATTGATTGGAGATGCTTCCTCCCGGCAGTGGTAGACACAAGCTCTAGTTAGTAGGGATGTGGTGGTATCACGAAGGCGGGGGTGAATTTGCCCAGCTAAGGTAGAGTCCAGGTAAGGTGTGGAGGGGTCACGAATGAAAAGAAACGGGAATAGGCTTCGGTCCCATGTGCGCCGTATGGATGATGCGGAGTAAACCCTACGGGATGCCATTCCCTCCTCTCGCTTTGTCCAAGATTGTCTAATGGTAGGCCATCTTGGAGAGGTCTAGCGAAATCGAGATCCTATTAGTTTTGATAGAAGGACCCTTTAGGACTGCGTAGAGTAGGCCAACATTCCAGCTGAGGCAGAGATACGTTTCCGGACTGGGGTCCGACATTGACGAGAAATCTGTGGTGATTTATCGCTCTTTAATTGTCGAGCAGGAAAAACTGGGTACATGGGAAAAAAGACGAACAGAACAAGAACAGGTTTCTATCTCTTCCTTCACCCCCCTTGAAAGGACCTTTTTTCTCTCTTTCGGATTCACTCCTCTGTCAAAACTCCGCAACCGTCGAGCCGCCCGCCCTACGCTATTCCCTCAACCAAAATTCTCAACCGCCAGACACCCAAAAGTCGTCATCAAGTCATCAACCGTTTCAAACAACCACCTGTTTCTGCGCCGCCGACCACCTTTTTCCAAAGTTCACAATTCGTCAACCGCCCGATTTGACCCCAACCGCTTGATTCGACAACAACCGCCCGTCTCGATCTACAGCCGTCCCACCAGCTTCTGACTCCGATCCGATGCTTGTCTAAGTGACGAAATGAGATGAGCCGAGCATGAGACTTTTTTTCCAACAAACAATATACGATCAAAAGGCAACTTTATGCTCGGGAGAGAGTGATAAACAAGGGGGGAGGGAGAGAGAGAGAGTGGGAAAGAAACCAGATCCTGTTCTGTCATGCTTGCGTTGCGGCACAGAGAGCCCTTACACTCCAGTAGCATCATCAAAAACAATCGCGGCCTTGATGGCGCTCTTGTTCTTGATGGACTCGAGAGCTTCGCCAAACTGCTCGAGCTTGAACGTCTTGTTGACGATGCCCTTGGTCTTGACCTTGCCCGAGTCAAGGTAGTCGATGGTGGCGGCTGCGTGAGAGTGAGTATAACTAGCCATTGACCATGCATACAGTAGGCGCAAAACTCAAAGATTTGATACGTACGGAACATGTAGGTCTCGGAGAAGGAGCCGAGAATGGTAATCTCGTCACCGAAAATCTTGGAAGGGGGCCATGAGACGCGGGCGGAGCTGTTGTAGACACTACAGTTTCGACATTATTAGCAACCGGACACACTGAACGGTGAGCTGCAGCCTTACCCGTAAACGACGAGCTTGCCGCCGCGACGGACGTAGTTGATGGCATCCTCGAGAATCTTGACGGAACCGGTAGCCTCGACTACGACGTCAAAGCCGTAGGGGTGGTCCTTCTGAAGCTGGGTGAACTGAACCTGGGGGTCGGAGCGCGACAATTCAACGTAGTTGTCGGCGGCATCCAAGCTGCGAGCGAGGTCCATCTTCAGACCTTGAGGAGCCGCAATCGTGACGTTGCAACCACCATTGTGGCGCATGAGTTGAGCGAGCATCTACATTAGAAGTACACCGGTCAGTCATTGGTGCACGGGGTGCCGTTTTCCGGCCGAGGTGGGACTCACGAGACCGGTGGGGCCAGCGCCGAACATGAGGACGCTTGATCCGAGGCGGGGCCGGATCTTGTCCAAGCCGTGGCAGGCGCAGGAAGCAGGCTCGAGAAGGGTGGCATCAACGTCGTTGAGGTTGTGGATCTTGAAGACTTTGCCGGCAGGGTACGCGCAGTATTCGGCGAAACCACCGTTCATGGTGACACCGTGAGCCTCGAACTGCAAAAGAAAAAAAAAGTGTTATTTCATCATCCGTCCGTGTAAGTGGTGAAGTGGGGCCGGGCATACGTGCTCGCAGAGCAAAAGCTCTCCACGTCGGCAGTAGAAGCACTCATTGCAGAGCTCACTGTTATCGGCAGCAACGCGGTCGCCGACCTTGAAGTCCTTGACTTTCTGTATCTTCTTGTCAGCAGCCATGTCGTCAGATGTTGTGAGCAATGAGGTTGCTTACAGGTCCGACCGCGGCAACGACACCAACAGTCTCATGGCCAGGGATCAGCGGGAACTTTGCAATGAACTCTCCCTCGTGAATGTGCTATCAACAATGTCAGTTACACCGCTAGAGGCCGACTGGAGGTCGCGAGGTTTCGGAGGTTTTACCAAGTCTGTGGCCTTCGTGTTAGTCGTACAGATCAAAGCAAAAGATCGTCCCAGCTTGCACAGCGTATGCAGTGGTAGACAAGAGAGAGTGTGATTTACTTACCAGTGCCACAAACACCGCAAGCCCTCACTTTGACCAGAACATCGTTCTCCCGAAGCTCAGGGAGAGGAACTTGGACAATTGACCAATCCTCGGGCTTCTCGTACCTGGATGAGGGGTCAGCTTAGCGCCGATGGAGGGGTAGATGATCCAGCGACAAAAGTCGCGTGAACTGTCACGCTGACCCGATGATCACACATGGTCGGTAGAGAGGAGCCATACCGGAGGGCCTTCATCTGCTTGGGAAGGTTTGACATATTGAAAGATTTTCGACCTGTATTCTGCTGGGTGGTAGGCGTGCTGTCATAGGTTGATGCTCGGTTAGCGAATGTCCTTATTGTAAGTGAAGCTCAGTCCATTTCAAAGCGGACAAGCAAGCATGGAAGCAAACAACGCAAAGTAGGGACTCACTGAATGACAGATAGAGTGAGGGGAAGCTTGATTTGGTGTCTCTACGGCAAGCTTTGGGAAGTGGAAATGGGAGCTATATATACGGCCTTCTTCGAGCAGCGCGGGGAATGGGCGCATCTTGGGACGGAGATGGGACCAGGGTCCAAGGTGTTGTTGGCTGGCGTGTCTAAGGTCAGGGTACCTACATCTAAACCCTCCCTTGAACTTGCATTGTACGCTCAAATCGGCGAGGTTCGATGGCTACACCGAGTGCATGTACCTCTTCATTCGTGCGTTGCCATCCGGCATATTGGCGTAGGTAGCTGCATCCCGCGTCCGCAGACGCATCCTCGACCATATCGACGCGCCACTCGGCCAACAAATGACGGTACATACACGAGACGGCATGCCACACCTCGAGCAAGACTCCAGCCTGGTCTGGCCAAACATTGATCGGTGAGGGTGAAAAGCACCTGAGAAAGAACGGAGCTGTTGGCAAACCACAGAGCTGAGCAAAGTGTAAACCCCCTGTCCGTCCAAAAATTGCCCCGCCCCCAGACTTTCAGCGGAGTTATTGCTGCAAACCTGGCGTCATCACGCAGGGCAGGGCTGCCACCAGCACCAGACTTCCAAGCCCGGGAAAGTCGGGAGGTAATGGCTTTGGGAGCAATCGAAAAGCAGAGAGAAGAATCGGAGTGTGAGGGGCAAGGCCATGGCAACGCATCCACAGATGAGCTTCCAACAACCGTCAGGCAGTCCAGCTGTCTAGCTCTTCCCATTGTATGGGGTCGACACTCTGTCATCGAGCCACTCAGAGACGCGAGAGCTAGCGAGGTGCATCCAAATTGGAGAGTGGGGAGCGTGCAACAAGTGCTGGTCTCGAATTGTAAGTGTGTGAGCCAGACAGTGACTACACCACTTCCATCATCAACAACACCATCTCTGCTTTCCCTTCCCGCCAGGTGGTCCACTTCCGCCGCTTTGCTTATCTCGCACTTCCGGCGCCCTTCCCCTGGTACACTACCTCAACAAAACACTCCCAGAGCCGGGCCAAGGAGAGAGGGAGAGTGGTGACACCCCATGGCACATGACATGAACTTACAGTAGTCTCCTCGTCTCGACCATGCCCCGGCGCCATGGCTCTTGCTGGTATCCGCGCCCGCGATTCTCTCTCCACGCGCTATCCTTGGAGTGCCCCCCTCGCCGGTTGTTCCCCGGTTTGCTGGCCTTGTAGCGCCAGACCTTGGCGTGGAGACGCTACCTCCACATGGAATCGACTTACGTACCGGGTTGGCACGAAGATAGTGGGATGGGTCGCTGAGTGCTCTGATATGTTTCTGAATTTCTGTCACCCTGAGGCTGGGCTTGGTTTGCGTTTGGTGGCTCATAGCTTAATCTTGTCTCTGACTATTGTTCTGTACGACAAGGTGCTGAGCATGATGGAATGTCCGTCCGTGCTGGCGCGGCTAGAGGAGAATCGAAGTTCGCTTGCAGCTCCCTGGGTTAGTCAATGTTCTGCCGCTGATGGTGTGGTGAAGCTGTGTGTAAGTTGATATCGGGTTGAGTTGTAAAAGGCATCGATTGAGTGAGGTGACTTTCATGGCAAGTACCCGTCCCCAAGACCTTGTCTTGCCTTCTCATCCCACGGGTCGGGGATGTCGAGGTAACCGCGTCCGGAAGCTGGCACAGGTGCAGATTGGAGGAGGCCAGGTACGTAGGAGTGAGGGGGAGGGGGATGAACCCTAACCTCTTACTGAACGAGGTGCAAGCAATGGCACCCAAGGCACGGCAGGACGTTGAGGAAGGCGTCCTGGTCTCTTCTGAGCCAATGCAGCACATCTCACTTGCTGAGACAAAGCCACACAACCAGACAGCATTTACAAAAGTGTGGAGAGGGTGCTTGAGTTCCGACCTTACGCGGGGGCACAATTGAGACTCTCGCCCATTCGGCGTCCAGAAACCTGGCAGTCATGAGATTTACGCAGTCACCGCCACTTCCCAATGGCCATACTAAGTTACTAACCCGCCTCGGGATTCCTCCAACTGGCCATCCCGTTCAACTTTCGAGGCTATCACGCATATTCGCTAAGGCAAGGGAACATCGCGCATTGCTTCTTTGCACAGAGGGGGCGGCGGCGCTACACACAAAACGCACTCATGTCTGGAACCATACGTTATTCGTGCAAAGCCTGCTGAAGCTATCCTACGTGCGTCGGCGCTTACCCCAGGCTCTCAACATTCCTTCATAGACGGACCCCTTTCTCGTCCATCCTCGACTTGAGAAACGCTTTGCGCATTGTCCTCGTTTCTTTTTCTCGTCTTTGCCTGGCCTCGACATGCAGAAGGGGTCTTGAGCGTGGCCTCTCGCAACTTCAGCACCACCCCACGTGCTAGCCGGCAGACACTGCTTGCTCATCACAGCGTGGTAAGAAGGACAAAAGGACGTTTCACAGTTTGGAGGAAGCGGCACAAGCCGCAGGCTGCAATTCATGACCTTTTGATGCAAACGATTTCCGAGGATCTAACCTCCAAACTCCCACGATGTTTCCCCCGTTGTCTGTGACGTTAACAGACGCGCGACTGTTCCGGCCATCCACTTTTTAGAGTACATGTCGGTGCCTTTTTGTTTCTGCCAATGCGTCTCGAGAGTAAAAGCCGATAGGAAAGAATCCTCTTACGAGGGGGGAGCGGCGCCACGGCCACGGCCAAAGCCACCACGGCTGTAAAATGTGTCAGCAAGAAAGATGTTCCAGCCCTTACTATGCGCCATATCGACATGGCGCAAAGCGTTCGAGGGGTTGAGGCTCACAATTGGGGCTCGAATCCACCAGGGGCACCACCCTCCTTGCCGCCCTCGCCAGCATCACGGCGGCGGTAGCCACCCTCACGGTCACCACGGTCACCTCCACGGCCACGGCCGCCAAAGGGTCTTCTCTCGCGCTCGCCCTCGCCGAGCATGCCGCGGGGAGGAGCGTGGGAGCGCTGCTGCTTGATGTGGGTGGCGGGGACAATCTCGGCGGGAAGGTGAAGCCACTCGCGGAGGTAGTCGAGACCCTCGGGGGTCAGGGTGTAGTAGTAGTACTGCCACGAGAACTGGGTCTTGACATAGCCGCGGGAGGTGAGCGACTGGCAGGCCTTGACGACGAACAGGTTCTTGGTGTCGATGTCGGGGTGCTTGGGGAGGTTGAAGTCCTTCTTCGCGACGAGGACACCCTCACGGAAGAGGTACTGTAATTTTCGTCGTCAGCAATCGCTATCCTCCCAATTTTTCAGCACGTCTGAAAATTGTAAATCTAACCTCGTGGATCTTCTTGCGGTCGGCCTTGGGGATCAACATCGTGGCGGTTGTCGTGGTCGCTGCTGGTCGATGAGTGGGATGTCTGATCGAGCGCTGTCGAGAACTAACAAAAAGTTTCGAAATTCGTCGTGGGAAGGTAGAATAGCCTAGTGGGCGTCAACCCTACGCGGAACGGACGAAGTGTGGGGCGCTTTGATGGCACGCAGAGTGGTCACGTGTAGATAACGCCTATTGATAAGTGGATGCATCCCCAAGGCCCGTCCGCCACACTTCCGTTCCTCAAGGCCCTGCGCCTCACTCGTTAGCTAGGTATCGGCGATAAGTCAGGCGCGGGTAATATTCATCCTTGTATCCAAACACTCAACATTTGCCTGCCACTTCACGTCGTCGTTCCGCCTTGAGACCGTCGCCCAGACATCGATTAAGTACTGCGTCGGCGCAAATCGACGAATCAACTACTTCAACCACGGACGCAAGGCATTCTGAACTCGCAAAATGGCTGTCAAGAACGTCAACGTATTCGTCAGTACCTTTGCTGGATTGGGCCTGCCATCGACACTGGTACTACCCGTTCCCTCGACGACGACCCTATGCGACCTGCGACAACAGCTTGACGAGCGACTGCCCACCACAGATAACCGCCTTATCCTAACGACCGTTTCCAACAAAAAACTGTCAACGTCATCCACCAAGCCAGTATCAGATCTTCTGTCGTCTACCGACGATGACTTTGTTTCTCTGCGGCTCTCAGTCCCGCTCTGCGGTGGCAAGGGTGGTTTCGGATCCCAGCTTCGAGCCGCTGGCGGTCGCATGTCCTCAAAGAAGAAGCGCAACCAAGGAGATGCCAACAACTCGAGCCGAAACCTTGACGGCAGACGTTTGCGGACCGTCACCGAGGCCAAGGCTCTGGCCGAGTACCTCGCCATCAAACCAGAGATGGAGAAAAAGGAGAAGGAGAAGCGTCGTGAAAGATGGGAGCAGATCGTCGAGCTTGCAGAGAAGCGCGAGGACGAGATCAAGAACGGCAGCAAAGGTCGCCTCGACGGAAAGTGGGTCGAGGACAAGGAAGAGTCCAACGAGAGAACCCGCGAAGCGGTACTTGCTGCCATGAAAGCCGGAAAGTACAAGGATAATCTCCTTGGTACGTCGCAAGGATCGACAGGATCAGAGGAGACGGACGAGGAGATGAGTGAGGAGGAGGAGGAGGAAGGCGGCAGCTCGAAGGAGTCAACCCCGCCGTCGGAACCGGCCAAGGCGCCCAAGGATAAGCCAAGGACGTTCTTTGGATTCGATGAGGATGATGAGTTTATGAGTTCTGACGAGGATGAAGTCAAAGGCAAGAAGAAGTGAGTCGACGAATCGCTTCGCCTCTCACAACCTCTTCACTGCTTTACTTCAAATATCTTCATCACACTGCTTGGCTTGGGTAAGGAGTTCAACGACAAATGAGAGCGCACGGAGTTTCTGGTCAGCCGGGTTAAAGGAACGGTATCAAGGTCCAAGGTTTTGTACAAATGATCAAATGGGCGGACACTACAGATAGTTTTCACGAAATCAAATTCGGCGCCCTGGAGCGTCATCAGCTTCGTCGCACGACACATCCCCCCATGCTCTATTTGAGGTCTCGATCCATCTCGAAGTAATACAGTCGCCCGGCTCCTCCGTCTAACCTGGTCACAACAGAGTCCAAATTTGCTTATGCGTCGAGCTTGACGGGGAAGCTGCCGGCCTCTGTTGTATGTCAGTATGCGTGCTTTTGAGATACGAACGGAGTGCTGACCTCTCTGCTCGTCCCAGCGGGTGTACCAGCCAGAGGGGCACAGAGAGCGGTAGCCGAGCCAGAACTGCGACAAGTTAGTTTTCTGTAGTCTTTCAACAAAAACTCGCGGACGGTCCGGACCTGGCGGCAAGGGGCAAAGTCCTCGCCCTTGGCGTTGATGCACTTGTGGTAGTCGACGTAGTTCTGCCAGCAGTGCTTGGTCTGGTTCATGTTCGGGTAGCGGGCATCGGTGCCTGTCCAGTTCATGTTAGATTCACGTCGCTCATCATTCCCGCTCTCAATTGAGGTGACGCTATCGCGGGTTTCGGTGGTTCGGGCGGAGGGTTCATACCGGCTATAGTGGTCATCAGTTAGCCTCGGAAAAAAGATCAGACCATAATTTGGAGAGGGATATTTCTTCAGCGTACCGGTAACGAACTTGAAGGGCTTGGTAACGAGCTCCTGATCGTCAGACATTTTGGCGGCTTGCGAGTTCAATTGACTGGGAGTCGGATCTGGTGATGGGGTCGAGTGGGCAGCGGCGTGCGATCGGTGTTGATGCTTTGAGAGCAATTGAATGGTCGTTTCTGCACCGAGAATCAGGTGGTGACGGGCGAGAACGGGTGGATGCCTGAAGATGGCCAATCGGGCCTCAGGCATTAGAAAGGTGGGTCGAGCTCGAGTCCAACATCAGACCAGACCGATGGAAGTCCAGTCCAACTTCTAAACACTCATTTTGAGATCCAATCCCGATCAACTACGCTCCCTCCCGCCGTACCGACAGGACCGAAAAATCTCCCCTCTTCAGACAAAAAAACAAAATCGCCAAAATGCGTCCTACTCTCGGTCTCCGTGCTTTCCGCCCGACTCTGCGCATGATGTCCCCTGTTCCCGTACGTTGAAATTTCGCCGGTCCGGATGAGCGCAATCGCTAATTCTCATGTCTCCCCTTAGGCCGAGGACCAAGTCGGTACGTCGACATCCGCCCCCAGCCATTGAAGGCTCCCACGATACCCGATATACATCTCGACGACAGACTATGGTGTTGCGAAATGAATAGCAGGAGCTGACAAAGTCGATCCTAGGCCACACCGTCTCCCAGAGACTGCGCAAGCTCCGCCAGATCCCCCCCGAACTGATCCCCCTCGGTACGTCATTGGACATTCAAGGTCACGTCAAATTGTTGTTGACGATACATAGGTGTTGTCGTTGGCTTCGCTCTGGCCGCTGCCACCTACTCCGTTGGACGTCACTTCATGACCGACAAGACCATCCGTCTCAAGCGCCAGGGCAAGTCTGCCGCCGACGCCGGCCACGGAGAGGAGCACCACTAAGCGAAGGTTATGAGGACGACGGGAGAACGGTTGACCATGGCGCTCATGTGTTATTAGGGAGGATCAGTTTGTATAAGTCTACGACAAAGACAGATCAAAAGCACCAGAGACGCTGCTTTCATTTCCTTTCTCACTGTGCTTCTCCGCCTCGAGTATTAGAGAAAAGCCGTGCCCCTTTTATATCTCAGTCAAATCATGTGAACGCCGTCGCTATGTAATTCGAATGAGGCTCCAATCGCCTCCGTTCACACCACATCTTCACTCTGGTCGTGGTCCTGCAACGTCGAGTCCCTCCAAACCTTGCATGGGGTCATCCCCGCGCATTTCAATTTGCGCCGTACCCTGATCGGTTGCCAATCCATCCTCCTCGCCAACAGCATGCTCTGCCAGCCAACCCTCCTATGATGAACGTCAGTAAGTTATTACAAAGCTTGATAAGCCAGAGTAAGCGAGGAGAGAAGCGAAAAACCAGAGTGGTGGAAATTGTGCTGAGGCAAGAAGAGAAGGATTTTGTAGAACAGGGAATGTAACGCGTGATGAGACGAAACTGTGAGAAATGACTAACTTGTTCCCATACAGCCTTCTTGCTGCCGAGGCCTTCTTCTGCGCTCTTGGGGACTTTGGCGGCTGACACCTTGATAACTCGTCCGAAGAATTCTGACTGATCCATGTTGTCGATAGCTTCTTTCGCATCCTCCGTGTCTTCATACTCAACATAGGCAAAGCCACGGTGAGGGTCTGTTGAGTTTGGCTTGTCGTTCTTGGGTAGCGATACGTCGGCGATTTCTCCAAAGGGGATGAATGCATCGTGAATGTTAGCGGCCGTCACGATCGAGGCCAGACCGCCCACGAAGACCGTCGACTTCCAGCGCGCCGCGTCCGTCATATTGGCTGGTAATGTAGTTGTTTGGCGGTAATTGAACTCGGTCAACTTGCTCGGCAACGCCTTGTGAAAATGAGCGCGGTTGGATGACAGTTGAGTGAATCTTTCAGATAGTAAGTGGAGTTTCTGCGCAAGAGCTGTTGTAAGTCTCTATTGGCTGAGATGGATCTTAGCTACCTGGAGCTGTGCCGTGGTTCTTTACGTGTCTGAGCTTGCAGTTACGTAAGCCATGTAGAGCAACATTTGCTCACTGCTTCCCCTCCACTCATAGTCCTTTCTCAATATTGAGTTTAGGACTCATCTTCTGCCAGGTATCCCTGTTTCCATGTCATAGTTGTTTTAATTTTATTCTACAGTTATTCACATTTAAATCTTGAATCAGGCGGTGGTAGGTTTCTGGCGAAAAAGAATGCATGGTAAATAGAGACCGCTTATGTAATGGGTTCCATGTCTCGCGCTTGCTCTCCGCCTCGAATTCTCCCTGCTGTGATGACGATGCACGTGACGCCACTTTTCCTGCTCAAGCCAGTTGAGAGGTGCACGGTCCAGTGCTAGGGGGCCATGGATGGCTGCGATTTAGGCCTTGGGGAGCTTGGGATGGGGCTGCAATCTGGCATCATATTTCCCTAAGGGCCAGCGTGCACTGTGACACTACCGCTTCAACGACTAATAGCCACCTCTCCCATAAGGCTTGGTTTATATTTTCTCAACTTCAGAGAATCTTGGCCCTCCTCGCCAGTTCTTCTTCTCAATCTCACGTCAACCAATGCCAATTCGCAGCTAGATTTGTCTTTCTTAGACTGGCTGACTTTCCTTATAGTAACGTCTCTCCCCTCCCTCCGAGTGCAGTCCTGGGGACTGAGTGATTCTCGCAAACATGGTTCGCCTTCGCGAGATCCCAAGGACCGCGGCTTTCGCCTGGTCCCCCGACCCGTCGAAGCCTCTTTTGATCACCGGCACTAGAGCTGGAGCTGTTGATGCCGACTTTTCTGATGAGACCAAGCTGGAGCTGTGGGACCTCAACCTTGACAACCAAGACCAAGGCCTCGAGCTGCAGCCCATAGCTAGCATCAGCACCGACTCGAGGTAGGCTTTCCTGCCAAACTACCAATCAAACATCTTGGCTCACGACACTTAGATTCTATGACCTCGCATGGGGACCGGCCGACTCCGATCATCCGAAGGGCATCATCGCAGGTGCCCTGGAAAATGGCTCTCTCGACTTGTGGGATGCCGAGAAGCTCATCGACGGAGCCGAGGATGCCTTCATGTCCCGCACAACGAAGCACACCGGTGCGATCAAGTCCCTTCAGTTTAACTCCCTCCGACCGAATATTCTTGCGACCGCCGGCGCAAAGGGAGAATTGTTCGTTTACGACATCAACGACGTGGAGAACCCATTCCGACTGGGAACCGCCGCTGCTCGCGCTGACGACCTCGAAGTTGTCGCATGGAACCGCAAGGTTGCGCACATTCTCGCTACTGGAGGTTCTGGCGGTTTTGTAACTGTCTGGGATCTGAAGACCAAGAAGGCCTCTTTGACCCTGAACAACAACAGAAAGCCCGTCAGCGCCATTGCGTGGGACCCCAACAACTCGACGAAGCTCCTGACCGCCACGCACGACGACACCGCTCCCGTCATCTTCCTTTGGGATCTCAGAAATGCCAATGCGCCCGAGAGGACGCTTCAGGGACACGAGCAGGGTATCCTTTCCCTGTCTTGGTGCCAGCAGGACAGCGATTTGCTACTTTCTTGCGGCAAGGACAACAGAACTCTGGTGTGGAACCCTCAAACGGGAGAGAGACTGGGAGAGTTCCCCGAGGTTACAAACTGGACCTTCCTCACTCGATTCAACCCATCCAACCCCAACCTTTCCGCCACCGCTGGGTTTGACGGCAAAATCACCGTCCAGACCCTCCAGAACACCAACCCTACGAACACGCAGGCCGCTACCAACAACAACCTCGATGGTGAAGACTTCTTTACCAGTGCTCAGACGCAGCCTCAGGGAGCGTCATTCTCCTTGAGCCAAGCTCCCAAGTGGTTCGAGCGTCCCGTCGGAGCCACCTTTGGCTTTGGTGGAAAACTCGTCATCTTCAAGCAAAATGCCCAGCAGAAGTCAACCAAGATCTCCATCTCCCAGTTCTCTGTTGACTCGTCCATCGGTGCCTCCACGGAAAAGTTCGAGGAGTCTCTGCAGTCAGGCGACATAGTCAGTCTGTGCGAGTCCCGTAAGGAACAGGCTAAGACCGAGGAGGAGAAAGCGGACTGGCTTGTCATGGAAACCCTTACTGGCGAGAACCCGCGCAAGCGCATTGTTGAGTACCTCGGATTCAACGAGGAAGAGATCACCAACGGAGTCTCAAGCAAAGA